TTGTCACGTGACTGCAAGGGAAGCTGGGAAACAGAGACTTTAATTGGGGTGACCGTATTCTCAACAACTAAATGAATGTATTATTATTGAAACGGGGAGAATAGATTTGAAGGAAAACTAGCAGCTGCTATCGTAGTCGTACATTTTTTATTAAAAGAATTGCTAATTTCTTGAACCTTTTCTGCTCAATGACCTCAAAACCCTACCATGTCACATATTGTAACTTGAGATCTGAGATATCCTAAAAAAGAATTATAGTTTATAGTTGTAGAATTTAAATATTTCAAAGGAGTTAAATGCAAAAAAAGTTAAAAGCTTATAAAAGGAAAAATAAGCAAATCCAAACTCGTAGTGTTCGGCAAATGTTTCAAGCACGTTGGAAATGTGTACCTTCTGAATAGATTTTAGGCCCTGCTATATCCCAAGTTGACATTTTTACATAAATAGCGCAAAAGCCACAGAGGACACTTTTTAAGTGGCTAGGAGAAAATGACCCATGCAAAAGGAAATGTAGCAGTCAAAGAACATCAAAGATCTGAAGTTAATTGCACACTTGCACCAGAACCTCAAGTGAGGCCAGAGCCCACCATCCCTCTGATTTGGTGTCTGAGGGCTTTAAAGATAAAAACGCTTCGCTGGCCTCTGTTAAGTCAGGCAGAGGGGAATCCAACAGAGTTAATTTTCATTCCTCTTAGGAGGAGGGAAATGTTGCAAGGCCTAGCATATTTTTATAGCTGAGACTATACAAAAAGATGGCCCTAACCCAAGAAGGCGAGAGGTCAGTGAGTTGAGCAAAGGATTTGAGGAAGGAAATGCTGACAAAACCTTTTACTAAGAATCTTTGAGTATATCTGCATCTGCAGTCCTTTCAAACTTTTGCTGGCTGGAAGTCTGGAAACATTTCCATGTGAAGAATCTTTTAAAAGTATCTTGGATGTTTTTTAGCACTTACGTAGATCATAAGAACAGAATGACCTAACACATAACCAATCTAAAGAGTCATGGTCAAAAAAGCAGCCTTTCTGGGAACTTGAGCCTCACAAAGTCACAGGAGCAGGAAATGGAAATACTTAATCAAGTTAAAGTCACTAATATTTAGAAAGCCTCCGCTGCTTGAGGGCACAGTTCCTTGTGTCGAGTGCAAAAGCCAGTTTTATTCCAAGAAAAATACAGAGAACTGTTGTGTTGAGATCTAGTAAAACAAGCAAGGATCAAGCAGGCCTTTAACAAACAGCCCTTTATTGCCACAAAAATCCCCTTGGTCTCCCTGACCCTGAATCACTCCAGTGTCTGACTCTAGGATTCAGAAAGAAACAAAATTGTTACCACTGACCCACAGTGCGGAGTGCCCTTCCTCCACTGCACTCGTAAGAATTTTGGAACTGGGTTTACTACTTGTCCCTACTGCTGTAGATCTGCAGATCCAGGGCAGGGCTTCTTAGAGTCCTCACACGAGTGGGTGGCTGAGCCCTCTTTCCAGCCACCCTGAAACGAATTCCCCCCTAGAAGTGAGTTCCTCTGCTGAGTTTCTGACTAACCTCTCTATCCAAAACTCTATTCCTTGTTCTCCAGTTGTTCTCCCTCAAGATTGAGGAGTATCAAAGAAAAGGGGAGATTGTAATTGATCAGGATCCTATGGTGCCTTCCCAGGACAGACTCTTGCTATGTTCTCCGCCTGCATCTTGTTTGTAGAAAAACTTTAGCCTCCTAGGCCCTCCCAGAGTCCCAAAGAGCAAATTTAATCAGAGAAGTGAGAAAATGCAAAAAGGAAAACAAGCAAGACAAAATAATAACAGTTTAGCCATTAAACAGTCCAGGACCTTTAGTTCCTCTTCCAGGGCTGTGGATAATATTCTGAGCCATGTCCTTGAGCTGTTCTGCAGATACTGAAACCCCCACCAGGTGGAGGAAGTTAACTGCATTTTGACCCCAAGCACATAGACCCCAGACTGGTGGGAACCAGAAGGTTGATGACGTTGACTTCCACTTACCTCACCACCAACCAATCAGAAGAATGTCCACAGCCGATCACCTGTCCACACCTGCAACCCTCTCCCTCACCCTCTCTTTGAAAACCTTTCCCTGAAAGCGATCAGGGAATTTGGGTCTTTAGAGCATTAACTGCCCATACTCCTTGCTTGGCCCTGCAATAAATGCTGCACTTCTCTTCACCACAACCTAGTGTCAGTAGATTGCCTTTACTGCACACAGGTGAGTGGACCCAAATTTGGTTCAGTAACAACCAATTTGGTTCAGTGAGCCCCTTGATACAAGCACGCAGGGCCCAGCTGCCATCAGAGCTTTTTCGGCGCCTCACAGCATGTGATGGATCAGACACGGGCACACTCTGTGCACCTTTGAGTGAATGTACTGTAAAGACAAGCAGAAGTCTTAGGCCTTTCTCCCAGAGATTGCTGTTAAATTCAGTTATCATTTCAACTGCCATGTATTGCATATCTACTGGGTGCAGGTTACATGCAGTCTCTGTCATCCTTGAAACAATCCTTCAATACAGGAATTGGGTCCATGTAATACTGAGGAGAATAGGCTTGAAAGAGGTGAAGTGACTGCCCGAGATTCAAGGCAGCCAGCCTGATCCCAGAGTGTTTCCCCACACGCCACCCAGTCTCTTTACACCTTAATTTCTTCAAACCTATCTTGTTCCTGGGCCACAGTAAGCACATTCCCAGCCTGATGCTAAGGCTGCCAACACCCTGTCCCGTCTTCCCCAGTCTTGAATGACAACATATAGAACTCACATGCTTGGTTTTTCTGAGAACTGAAACCAACATAAAATTCTCCAAAACTCATCTTAAATTTCTTTTCCAAACCTATCGCTAAAGGTGTGAAAAATAAAGTATTCTGAGTTAAACACAACCACCGCACCACCTAGAATATCCTGTTCTGCCATCTCCCACTTTCCTTTCTTCCTTCTCTGCTGTTAGTGTTTAAGAGTGAAAGCAGGTTACACCAAGGCTGAGAGGCTCCTTGACCCATCAGGCACTTTTGCTGGACCGTGAATATCTTGAGGAAAGGGTCAGTTTCATGTTGCCTCCCTCATGTCCTACACACAGTGCCTGGGTGCAAAGATTCATTTGATAAGTGCTTTGTTGGATAGGTGACACTGATGGGAAGTTCACAGTGGTACAACTTTATTGAGATTTCCTTGTAATGTAGTCACCTAACAGGGCTACCACCCTAAGCTATTAAGAATCTAGGTTGTTAGGAAAATCCCGAAGATTTGTTTTAGAGATACTGCTATCTGCAAATTCTAAACGCAAGGAATAATATTAACAGAAGAAAAGAAAATTCTTCCCTTTTTCCAAAGGATGCCTTTTCCACTCTGACATCTTGGCAGCAAACAGGACTTTTAGTCATTTGATATTTTCTTCTGATTCAATTTCACATTGTGAAGGAGAAACTGCCACACCTAATAAATAAATGCTGGAATCCTACCATGTTATGCCTGGCTTGTTTTAATAATCTCATGGTCTGAACTTTCCAAATGTGAAAGTCAGTTTCTGCTGACCTACTGAAACCAATGAGCTGTCACATAGGCTATATTTGTTGGTTACTGGGAGCTCTTTGGTTTGTCCCAGTGGAAGGTCAGTAAGTTTTTTTTTTTTTCCTACCCAAGAAAAGTAAAGATCTTATCTATAAAAAGTTTACCTTTCTTTCTTGAAAAGAAAATTGGCCAGTTCACTCCATATTGTTACTAACTTTTCCAAGGACGTTTCTGTTTCTGTTGACCTTTGAAAGATTGTCCTAACAAAGTATTCTGCCTTCCTGTCAGGAAACACTCTTGCTGCCGTTCACACTGTCACTTCATGGAGTGGATTGGAATATGGTTATTTGGGGGGACTTTTTTTTTTGGCTGTGCCACACGTCTTACAGGATCTTATTTCCCCAACCAGGGATCAAACCCGTGCCCCCTGCAGTGGAAGCATGGGAGTCCTAATCACTGGACAGCTAGGGAATTCCCTGGGTGTGTGTGGGGGGGCTTTTTTTTTTTAATCTTTCTGAAGTATAAAACATATCAGTCACGTACCCAATCTTAAGTGTCCTGCTTGATGAATGTTTGCGAAGTGAACATGTCCATGTTAACTGCCACTCATCAAAATTACCAGAAAACTCTTTCATGTACCATCCTCGCCATTCCCCTCCACAAAAGTAATCACTCTTCTGACTTCTATCATCAAGATTAGCACGCTCGTCCTGTTTTTGAATATTGTGTAAATGGAATCATACCGTATGTGTTCTTTTGTGTCTGCCTTCCTTCACTCAGTATTACGTCTATAAGATTGATCTACATTGCTGCATATGGAAATAGTTTGTTCTTTCATTACTGTATAGTATTCCATTGCATGAATATAGCACAATTTACTTACATATTCTACTGCTGATAGTCTACTACTGTTTCAAGTTTTGGCCTATTTTCAGTAAAGCTGCTAGGAACATTCTTATCCCTGTCTTCAGGTAAACATAACCACTTGTTTCTGTTCCATATTAAGAGTGAAATTGCTGGAGCATGACATACATATACACATATATGTATACATGTATACATATATACATACATATATATGTTCAGCTTTAATAATTACTGCCAAACATATTCCAGAGTGTTTGTGCCAATTAATACTCCCATCAACAACTATGAGAGGAGTTCAAATCACTCTGTATCCTTGTCAGTATTTACTATTTTCAACTTTTAAGTTTTAGCCATTCTAGTGGGTGTATAGTATATCGTGGTTTTAATTTGCTTTTCCCTCATCACTGATAGTGTTGATCTCCTTTTTAGGCTTCCTAGTCATTTGGATATATTCTTCTGTGAAGTGCCTCCTCAAATCTTTCTTTCTACTGATTTGTACAAGTTCTTTATATATTTTGGATATGATTTTTTGGTTAGATATAGGTATAGTAAATAAATTCTCCCAATATGTGGTTTGCCTTTTGACTCTCTTAATGGTGTCTTTTAATGAAAAGAGATATTAATTTTAATAAAATGCAGTTTATCAGTCTTTTTATGATTGGTTATTTTTATGACTTTTATTTTTCCCAGGGAGGTGGTTGATACAGGGAGCAGTAGGCTTGATGGAGCCATGTGGAACACTACCAAATCCACATTTACCCACGTACCAGATGTAGTTTAAAATTTCAGGCATAGGCTTTGAGGATCTATTGGATGTGCACAGGGGAGCATGAAAATATTCTTATATTTTCTACTAAACGCTTTATTGTTTTACGTTCCATATTTAGGTCTCAGATTCACTTTGAGTTGATTTTTGTGTATGGTATGAGGTAAGAGTCAATGTTCATTTTTTTCCCAGCTACACAATTGCCTCATCATCATTTATTATTAAAAAAGACCATGCCCCCCCCCCCCCCCAGTGAATTATAGGGGCATCTTTGCAGAAGTCAAGAGACTGTAAATGTGTGGCTTTGTTTCTGGACTCTTTATTCTGTTCCACTGGACTGATTCTTCATCTTTGGGCCTGTAGTGCACTGTCTTAATTACTGAAATGTTATGTTAAGTCTTGCAGTTTGGTAGTGTTAAGGTCTCCAATTTGTTGTTTTACTTCAAGATTGTTTTGGCTATCCTAGGTCTTCTGCCTAGGTTATAAATTTCCATAATAATGTTACAAAAAACTTGTTAACGTCTACAAGAAAATGCTAGCATTTTGATTTGGATTGCACTGAATCTATAGATCAAGTTGGGAAGAACAGACATCTTAACTCTTTTGAATCTTCCACTTCATGATAATGGTGTATCTCTCTGTTTATTCCATTTATTTAAGTTTTCTTTAATTTCTCTCAACAATGTTTTGAAGTCTTCAGCATAGAAATTTTGCTTATATTTCATTGCATGAATTCCTTGATATTTGACGTTATTGATTCTATTTTATTTTTCCCAATTGTTTGTTGCTAGTATAAAGAAATACATTGGATCTTTATTGACCTTGTACTCTGTGACCTTGCTAAATTCACTTGTAAATTCTAGTAGTTTGTAGATTACTTTGGATTATCTACATACAAAACCTTGACATCTCTAAGACAATTTGTTTCTTTCTTCTAATCTCTATGCTTTTAATTCCTTTTTTTTGCCTGGTTAGAACACTCCAGTTCTAGTCAACACTGTTGAATAGAAGTGTGATGGTGAATATATGTCTTGTTCCTGACCTCAATGGGAAAATGTTTAATATTTCACTATTAAATACAATTTTAGCTACAGGGCTTTTTTTTTTTTTTTTAAAAAAAAAAGATATTCCTTCTTTGCTGAGAGCTTTATCATATTATTATGAATTTTTATCACACTGTTAAACTTTATCAAATGCTGTATCTAGTGAGATGATCATATGAGTTACCACCTATGTTCTGTTCATTTTACCCTTGATTTTTTTATTTTGAGATAACTTTAGAATCACATGCAGTTGTACAAAAATAATACAGACAGATGACATGTACTCTTTATCCAGTTTCCCTAAAAATAAGCATTTTTTCCAAAATTATAGTACAATGTCACAACCAGGGTATTGATATTGATATAATCCATTGATCTCATTCATGTTTCCACTCTGATTACTGAATATTAAACCAACCTTGCATTCTTTATTCATGAAATATATTATAATATTGTTAGATTCAATAAGCTAATATTTTGTGAATGATTTTGCATCTATCTTCATGAGAAATACTGGCCTTTAATTTTCTTTTCCTGTAATGATGTTGCCAGGTTTGGGTATTAGAATAATATTGACCTCATAGAATAATTTGGAAGTGTTTCTTTTTTCTCTGTTCTCTGAAAGAGTTTGTGTATATTTGGTATTGTATCTTTTTGAAATGTTTGGAAAAATTCACCAGTGAAGCAAGCCAGCTGGCTTCTTAAATTTTTTAAATGCAGATTGGATTTTTAAAAACATATCTAGGCCTAAATCAGAATTTTTGTTTCCTCCTGTTTTGTAGAAATATTTTTCAAGAAATGTGTCCATTTCATCTAAATTGTCAAATTTATGGGGAAAGTTTTTTTCTGCTTAATTTCCTTTTATCCTTTTAATAATGTCTGTAATTCTGTAGTGATGTCTCTTTTTCATTTATTTCCTCTCTTTTTTGATTAGTCTTACTATGGGTTATCAATTTTAATTAACCCTTCAAGGAACCAGCTTTTGACTTTGTTGATTTTCTCTTTTATATGTCAACTTTCTATTTAATTAATTTCTGCTCTTTATTTCCTTTCTTCTACTTTCTTTGGGTTTATTTTTGCTGCTTTTTTTAGATTCCTGAGATGAAAGCTTAGATGATTGAATTTTCAAACTTTCTTCTTTTTAATACATGAAAGGTTATAAATTTCCCTTTAAACATCACTTTAACTGGTCCCCACAAGTTTTGATGTCATATTTTTCATTATAATTCAGAGTATTTTTTCCTTGTGATTTCTCCTTTCACACATAGGCTTTTCCGAAGTATCTTGCTTACCTGAAAATTACAGCTTTGTTTTTGTTGTTGTTGTTTTTACTTATTTCCTACTGTGGTCAGAGAACCGTTCCATGCATTTCAACTTTTTGAATATTTGTTGTCACTTACTTTATGGCCCAGGATATAGTCTATTTTTGTAAATATTTTATGTACACTTGAAAAGTATGTGTAATCTACAGTTGTTTAACTTTTTATATCCTTAATGATTGGGGTTTTGTTTTGTTTTTTAATCAGTTATTGAGAGAGGTGTGGTAAGACCTTCAAGTCTAATGGTGAATTTGTTTCTGCCTGTTTTCTTTTTTCTTTTTTTATTGTGGTAAAATATACATAAGGTTTACCATATTGCTTTTTAGTTTGGTAAATTTTGTTTTATATATTTTGAGATTATATTATTATTTAGAATTGTTATATCATCCTGATGAATTAATCTGCTTATTATTGTGACATATATTTCTTCATTTTCTTAACACTTCTTACCTTAAAGTCTACTTTGTCGAATAGTTTGGTCACACCAGCTTCCTTCTGGTTAATGTTTGCATGGTGTATTTACTTTCAATCTATCTGTGGCCTTATATTTAAAACGTGTTTCAAAAGAAAGAAAAAAAAAGGCATTTCTTGTAAAAAGCTTTATAAGTAGAACTAGCTTTAAAATGGAAAGTTGATGCCAAATTCAGGCACAGTCAGAGTGTCCTTGGCTTGTGGTACCAATAAGAGGGAAGGAGTGATGACCTTGGATAGAGACTCAGCAGTTTAGACTTGATATAGCTGATGGGAGATGGACCTCCCTGTTGATGGAATATTTTTGTAAAAGAAATTACCACCCTCAAATTTGTTTCTAAAATGTTTGATTTTCATTATAGTGTTAGGTTAAAGAAGAGTAGACTTGAATTGTGGACTGGCTATCTATCATTCAGCACCCTCAGAGGGAAAGATGTGTAGTCAGTGCTATGCAGACCTCTAAATTTTCTCAGAAAATTCCTAATTGAACTATTTCATATTGGCATCCTAGATTGATCAGTAAATTTTTAAGTGGTAAGCAACCTCAGAGACCATCTTGGCCCACTGTCATGCTCCTCTGTACTTGAATATGGAAATATAAAGTGTACTTTCATTTTTGTCACTCAGGCCATGCAAGTAAATGAATAGCTGGATACTCAGATCTTTGATTTTAAATGTAATTATGACCTTTAGAAATAACTGCTTTGAAAATGGACCAAAGAGTAAATAAAATGGGTGACTGATATACCTCAGTTCCCAAAGGAAATGTATAAGAAGCTGTTTTTACTTTGCAGATTTCAGTCTTAGAGAAAAGACTTCATCATTTTATATGTGATGTGGCTTTCCGGGCTCCTGACATTGTCATAGAATTTGACTGGTGTCTCCTCTTGGGAATGGATGGGCATTTTCTTGCTCTCCACAGTCATGAGCTTCACTTCCAGGGGGCCCAAGTTTACATAATCCTATGGTGAACAGACACAGAGGAGAATAGGAGAGGTTATTCAGCAAGTTACCAGCCTTCATAGATCAGGTTTTATTTACTATAGTTGGCCTCTATATGACAGATTTCATTGCCCTCCTGATTATCTGAATGCTGTATGACATGTGAAATATGAGAGCTACTGTAAATAAAAACCACTCAGTAAAGTTATATACCCAGTGGGGGCATGGTAGGCAAACCTCCCAAAGAGCAGGCAGCAAGGCTTGCAGGCTTGTCTTCTGGGGGCTTGAGCCGGGGAGGGAACATCAACTACAGCAGGGAGATATATTCTCTGCAAGCTCTTTAATTGGTAAAAGGAAGTAGGAAGTATTGGCTGCATTTATATAGCCCTCTGCTGGCCAGGATATAACCACAGCAGAGTTTTTTATATTAATCAAGAACAAAATGAGTGATCTGCAAACATCTTTGACGATAAATATCTTTTTTTTAAATAAATTTATCTATTTATTTATTTTTATTTTTGGCTGTGTTGGGTCTTCGTTTCTGTGCAAGGGCTTTCTCTAGTTGCGGCGAGCGAGGGCCACTCTTCATTGCGGTGCGCGGGCCTCTCACTGTTGCGGCCTCTCTTGTTGTGGAGCACAGGCTCCAGACGCGCAGGCTCAGTAGTTGTGGCTCACGGGCCCAGTTGCTCTGCGGCATGTGGGATCTTCCCAGACCAGGGCTCGAACCCGTGTCCCCTGCATTGGCAGGCAGATTCTCAACCATTGCACCACCAGGGAAGCCCCACGATAAATATCTTAATATTGAGCAAATCTACATGGGTTTTGCACATTTCACAGGATCTACTGTAGATATAAAACTTACCACATTCTGTCAAACTGAATATAGTTTCAGATATCAACAAACAGAATTAGAAGTCTAATTTATATGAAATCCCACAGCTAACCCCAAACTGACTTGAAACAGCTCCAGCCCTACCCAATGGGCCTTCCTCTTGGAAGCCTCTCCAAGCTGTAACTCCTTCTTTTGGATTCCTTCAACACTTCAACATGAGTGCCCACTATGTGCCAGGCTGTGTACCAAGTGCTGGGGCAAAAGACTGGTCAGGGAGACAGATACAGGTAGGACATTCCTCCTGTACAGTAATCAATGATTTTATCAGTTTTCTACTAGCATGTACACTATTTAGGGCAGGGCCTGCCACATAGGCGTCTTTGAGACTTCATTTCTTCCTGTTCTTCCCCTTAAATTCTCAAGCATCTAACAAGTACCTGGCATGTTGTGAGGGTCTCAATAAACATTTATTAGAATTTAGGAGAGTCAAAGAATGAAAAAGGAAGGCAATGTTTTATTAATATTTCTCAAAAATTCATATAACTGTATGTAGCTTTTAAAATACATAATTGCAGAGCTACAATAAATGCGAGATAGGAGAAAAGTAAATTGATGGAAGTCTACCATATATTTCAGAACCATCTGGAGCAGGATTCTGAAGTAATAGACTCTCTTAGTCTGCTTGAACTGCCATAGCAAATACCACAGGCTGAGTGGCTGAAACGACAGAACTTTATTTCTCACAGTTCTGGAGGCTGGGAAGTCCAACATTAGGATGCCAGCATGGTTGGGTTCTGGTGAGAGCCTCTTCCTGGCTGGCAGATGGCTGCCTTCTCACAGCGTTCTCACAAGGCAAAGCCTCTTCTTATAAGGCCACAGTCCTATCAGGTGAGGGCCCATCTTCATGACCTCATATAACTTTAATTAACTCCTAAAGCCTGTATCTCCAGATACAGTCATATTGTGTGTTAGGGCTTCAACATGTGAATTTGGGGGAGGGGTGGGGACAAAATTCAGTCTGTAGCACATACAGTACCATTTCCACCACATCAAAAACTTCCGTGGAAAGTAAGGTCTTAGAAGAGAATGTAGGCGAAACATTCTCTGACATAAATCATACCAGTGTTTCCTTAGGTCAGTCTCCTACAGCAATAGAAATCAAAGTGAAAATAAACAAATGGGACTTAAACTTACAAGCTTCTGCACAGCAAAGGAAACCATAAACAAAAGGAAAGGATAACCTACGGAATGGGAGAAAATATTTGCAAACGACACAACCAACAAGGGCTTAATTTCCAAAATGTACAAACAGCTCATACAAGTCGACAACAAAAAAACAAACAACCCAATCAAAACATGGGCCTAAAGAGACATTTCTTCAAAGAAGAAATACAGATGGCCAATAGGCACGTGAAAAGACGCTCAACATCGCTAATTATTAGAGAAATGCAAGTCAAAACTACAATGGGTTACCACCTCATGCTGGTCAGAATGGCCATCATTAAAATGTCTACAAATAACAAATGCTGGGGAGGGTGCAAACCTCCTGCATGGTTTGTGGGAATGTAAGTTGGTGCAGCCACTATGGAAAACAGTATGGAGGTTCCTCAGAAAACTAAAAATAGAATTACCATATGATCCAGCAATCCCACTCCTGGGCATATATCCAGACGAAACTATAATTCAAAAAGATACATGCATCCCTATGTTCATAGCAGCACTACTCACAATAGCTAAGACATAGAAAAAGCCTAAATGTCCATCAACAGATGAATGGTTAAAGAAGATGTGGTACATATATACAATGGAATACTACTCAGCCATAAAAAAAGAATGAAATAATGCCATTTGCAGCAACATGGATGCAACTACAGATTATCGTACTAAGTAAAGTAAGTCAGACAGAGAAAGACAAATACCATATGATATCACGTGTAGAATCTAAAATATGACACAAATGAACCTATTTATGAAACAGAAAATCAGGGACATAGAGAATAGACTGGTGGTTTGCCAAGGGGGAGAGGGGGTGGGAGAAGGGAGGAGTGGGAGTTTGGGGTTAGCAGATGCACACTGGTATACATAGAATGGATAAACAACAAGGTCCTACTGTATAGCAAAGGGAACTATATTCAATGTCCTGTGGTAAACCATAATGGAAAAGAATACGAAGAAGAAGAATGTATATATACATATACATGTATAACTGAGTCACTTTGCTGTACAGCAGTAATTAACACAACATTGTAAGTCAAATAGAAAAGAAATTTAAATAAATTCAACAGATAAAAACATAAAAAGTAAGAAGGTTTTTCATTCAATCAAATGGTATGCAAGTTTGGAATTTTATAGACAGTTGTCCACTAGCGTGAGGTTATTGTAACATACAAGGCGTCATGATTCCATATACTCATGGGGGTGTTTGAGTGTTATAGAGACTAGAGCTTTAGTCTTTAAATTATCACTTGATGGTAGCAGGACTGAGTTGTACTTAGTTAAAATGGTTTTTGTTGATTTATTCAGTTTCTTTTGCTTTCTTAATTACTCTTTCTCCTACCAGACTTTAAGTTCTAGGAGAACTTTCAAGGTTATTGGTAGTACCAAGAGGGAAAACAGCAAGGGGTGGATGTGAAAGTGACTGGAATGTACCAAAAGGTTTTAAAATTAAAAGGCTTGATAATCTAGGTTTCACCTACTGGTATATGTGACTGTTTGTACTTTCCAAAGATGGTCATGCTATCATATACATCCTATCCCACGTGCTTTTCTTACAATATGATGCTGACCTTCCTCTTTCAAGATGCAGGACCTGCACCGTTTCTCTTTGGGTGGAACTTTGTAGCTACATCGACAAATAGAATATGATGGAAGTGTTGATGTCCGATTTCCAAGGCTAAGTCATATGAAACATTTGGTCTCTGGGACTGATTGCTTTGGAAGAAGCCAGATACTGTAACAAAGGGACAATAAAGGTGCCCTGTAAGGAGGCCCATGTGAAGAAGAACTGAAGCCCCCAGCTTAGCCAGCATCAACTTGCCAGCCATGTGAGTGAACCACCTTGGAAGTGGATCTTCCTGCCCAAATCAAGGCTTCAGCTAAATATAACTGCACCTTCTAGAGAACCCAAGTGAGGACTGTCCACTGGAGACCTTCCCAAATTTCTAACCAACAGAAGCCCTGAAAGAGAATAAATGAGTTATTGTTATAAGCACTAATTCTTGAGGTAATTTGTTATGTAGCACTAGATAACTTACATGGTATACTAGTAATGGATGTCTATAAATGAATATATGTAGTAAGTTGGGCAAAAGTAGGAGTGAAAATAGTATCTAGTGACAGACGTGAATGGTTGGCAAATTTTACTAATAATTGCAAATAGAATTTTTCAGCATCCATACTTCAGGTTAATTTTCTCCACTAACTAATAAAGCAACATTTTCTCTAGTAGTCAAGATGTTTTCTCATGAATCTTACCTTGAAATCCCGCTCATCCTCATACAGTAAGTATTTCATATCAGAGGCTCCAAACTCTATGCTTGAACTCTCTTCATCTATCTTCAGCTGCTGGCTGTATCTGCTGCTATCCTCATGACTAAGATGTAAAGCACTGCTCCCAAGTGCTAAGCTCAACAAGTCTCTACTTTTTACTTCTGCAGGTTGCAATTGTGACTTTTCTGGGATGAGTGCAAAGAAATTAATTATGTACAATTTTTGAACAGATTAAAAATACAATACATACTTTGTCACTTATTTTTTCAGTTTTAGTTTTTTTTGAATTGAAATATGGTTGCTTTACAATGTTGTGTTAGTTTCTGGTGTAGTGACTCAGATATATATATATATATATATATATATATATATATATATATATATATATACGCTCCTTTGTCACATTTTAAATTTGAAAGACCTTTGAGAATCTCCTGGAGGAGAAAAATTTGAGAATTAGAAATGTAGAATCTAGGTATTAAAGTGAGAGTGAGTCCTATTATTCGAAACCATATCTAGGTTGTATTTCCTTCTGTTAGCTAATAAGTTATAATAATCACATGGGGACCTGTGAGTGTGTTGGTATTTTGGTTGGTTGGCTAAATTGGAGCACAAACCATGCCAGTGTAGACATCATTCCATCCCTCTCTACTAGTGTCTATTTAATTCATTGTGACACATGGTGACTTTGATTTGAAAAGTCACTAGAGAAGGGAGATGGGTTAGGTAAGCTCTGCAAGCACAGAGAAATATGGAGGAGCTGGCAGGCATTATTCCCTGAATAGCTCTCTGATATAAGGTTCCTGTCCATAACAAGAAGCGCAATTAAGTGTTTGTCAACTTTTTAAAAATCACCATTACAATAAAATAATACCTATATATGTTTCTGGCAACTCCAAAGGCATTTCTTCCTGTGCCACTTCCTGTCCAACAGCTTGAGCAAGATATAGTCGCCTAAAAACAAATAAGAAAAGTAGTCTGTCAGTCAGCAAATATTGTACCACCTGCTCAGTAGTGTCTTATCTCTCTGCTGGGTGCTGGAGACACAGATGAGAAAGGGGCATCAGGCCCAGTGGGGTGGCAGACAGGCTTACGGTGTTTGATGGTGATGGTTTGTACCATGGTGGGTAATTATGTGAGGAGCACAGTGTCAGGAGTGCCACGGGGCAAAGAGAAGCAGCACCGGATTTAGCCTTAGGAGGTAAGGAAAGGTTTCCAGGAGAAGATGAAACCTGCGTTGAGTCTTGAAACACCAGGGGCTGTTTGCCAGGGAAGAGCTTGGGGTGAGGGGAGGGCATCCCATGATTAGGAAATAACAGGCTTAAAGTCCCAGAAATGAGAGTGATCATGACACCAGTTACGTCACTGTTGCAGGGAATCCAGATGAGGAATGGGATGGGATTTGAAATAAAGAGAAAAAGAGAAAGACAGCAGTAGGAATCCAAGATGACACCTAGGTTCTGGCTCTCGCTGAGCGGCGTGTTCCAGCTACAAGCCTGGTGAGTTTGCGTCTGCTGTTGCAACTCTCTGCATTGCAGAGGCCAGTGGAATTTTCAGTCAGAAGACATGATACCTTGAAAGCTCCATACAGCATTGCCATGAAGTTTGCCTGAAGCTATAGCATGAAGCAAGTGCCCCTGGCAGATGCACCAGCCATACTTCATGCTTAGCAACCAGAGTGAATCCCCTGGATTACAGGCTGTCAATTACTTAAAGACCACGAAGGAAGTGTTATCTGAGATGCTTAAAGCTTAAAGCAAATAATGTAACTACATACAATATTTATATCTTAAAACCTTCTTAAGAGTTAACTTAGTGAAGCTCTGGTCTGCAGGTGGACAAGTCTGAGGCCACAGAGTTCTCTTCTTTCCTGGTTTTACTCTTTTGAATAACTAAGATCTTAGTAAACGCCGTAACCTTCTGAAGTCTGGCTTCTCTCTTAATCATTAGTTTATTGTCACTTTTGTACCACCACAGGGCGGCAACACTTGTTATAGAAAATATTTTACAGAACGTTATCATATGAAACTAGCGTTAGATTTGAGGTACTGGTCCACCTAGCCTCAGCTCTGCGGCATGGGAGTCCCTGGGCAGTCACCTCTAGCTTATTCAGCTCATCTAATGTATCAGACAAATACTATGATGTTCTATGGGAGTCAGGAAGGAAAGAAGTTTGGGGAGCTCTGGATGGGAAATACAGTAACTCTATTAGGTAGAATACCCCATTCTTCATCCAAATAGGGAAGTTTTTATATGTTTACTGGGTACTGTTCATGTCTATTTCTCACCCTACCAGAATATACAGGACTAAATTCTCAACGAAGAGGTGGAAAGAGCAGTTACCATAAATTACACAGTATGTGTTAACATTTCTTTGACTTGAAAATGGATACAGGAAAAGCTCCTGAACTTTTTCTTCTAGATAAGCATTGTAACAGATAATTGAGGGTTTACACATTTCTGTTTCTTTATTCGGGTCTTTCTAAGATGTCCTAAACACTTGTCTCAAGGACAATCTAGCAAGGAAGCAGATGTTTAAAAAGTAGTCCCTACTGTGATAAATGCTAGTTACAAAGGAAAAGTTCAGTGTGCCATGGAGGCAAATACCGGGCCCCTAACCCAGTTCTTATAAACGTCGCCCATGCTGTTTCTTTTCCCTCAGACAGATTTTGAATTCATCTCTCCCAACTCTGAAGCAAAACTAAGCACTCAGGTCTCTCACTAAAGAAAACCAACCCACAAAGCATTGATGAACAATGTGGATTTTACTGAAGATTTCTGTGGGGAAGCTAGAGGATAGGTTTAAATTGCATACAATACAGCAAACAACTTAATGAAAATCGCCATTAAAAGTTTCCCATCTCCCTTTCCTGTCCTTGCCAAGCTCTCTCTGGCCGATGAAAGATTTCCCCTTTATTATAATGAGCACTTCACATCCACATCAGCAGCAAATCAGGTGCACTAGACTGAGCTGACCAAAGCAGGAAGTGGGGTTGGCAGTTTACAGGGTAGCACTTTTCCTAAGGGTTGGCTGGTTCGGAAGAGAGAAAAAGAACACAGCGGACAGCAGGTGGAGCAGTGGTTGGAAGGCACAGCTGGCAGAGATTCAGCGTGATCACAAAGTGGTGGCAGCAGCAGGTGCTTCGGGGTAGAGGCGGGACGGGAGTGTGGAGCTGGAGACCTGATCATAGGGAGGGAGGCTGGCAAAAGAGAGCATTGCCTGCTGGGGTGACAGTGAGGCCCGCCACCCCCTAGGGACCCTCAAGGGCATCAGCTCAAGAGACTGGAAGTACAGGAGTCCAGTAATCAGCCAATTCATTCAGCCTGACTGCCTGCCTCACTTACACTGGTATCCGTGGCTCCAGGGCGGCATACATAGACTGTGAAAGGGAGGCAGGTGGCCTCTTTCTCTGTCCTGCCCCACCCAGTGTTCAGCCTATAAAGTAATTGCACCATCTCCTGTTTCTCCAATCTTGTATCCCGACACCCATCACTTAGCTCAGCAAATAAAAACCCCACAACTTGTATCTACCCTTCTTGAAGCACATGAGGAAGTTTGCCAACAATAAATACTTTATTATGTCTCTAATAGTATTTTTTCCATGCCACACAAGCAAGACCTACTCAGGTGGAAGTGTTTTCCTGACCCTTCCACCATGTTGAACTTCTCTCCCATCTTGCACATGTACACCTTACATTTGTGTGATTTAATTCCTCGATCTTCCTAAGCATGTTACTATTTAGGTTATTTCTTGTTTCTGACTACTTGTCCAAATTATGAATGCCACTTTGGGTTTTAATACCACATTCCAGGGCTCTAATTTTTCATCAAGATTGGTATATTAAGACTTTTTTTTGTCAGGTAAGAAAAAGAGATAACCTAAACTACAAAGCCATATACGTATTTGATTTCTCTCATGCAGGAATAAATGTGACTTGGAATGCCAGGCTATTTTCTCTGCCTAGAAAGTAGTTTGCCTCTTTCATTAACTGTCAAAGGAAACCATTCTATAATCCACAAGGTAACCAGTTGCTCAGAACACTCCAGGAGTTCCCATCAAGTTGATCACTCCCTCCTGTGTGCTGGCTTCGAACCCCGTACCTCTTCCGCTGTACTGTTATGCGTTTATTTTTATGCCCAATTCCCCTGCTGGCCCAGAGGCTTCTGAAGGACAGCAGTTGTGACATTCATGTTAAGTGTTTGCTACTATGACCACAGTGCATTGTTAGAAAAAGCAAGTCAAAGTCTGCACTGGACCAGTGGTCGGTTGTAATGATCTTATACCTTCCCCATGGCCATTTTGTGAGCTCCTTTCTTTTCAACTATTAAAGAATTGTCATCTTAAAAAAAATAACTTTTTACAGATACAAATGTTAAAAAAAATACTTTCTAGATATGTAATGACTCTCACCTGGGTATTTTGAGATCCACAAGTCTGCAGTTGAACAGCTGATCAATAAGCACCAAATTTTCTCCTTCCAGCTCATGAATAGCATGTTCCAGTTCTTCCACTTCCTTCCTGTGATTTGCGATCTATTCTCAGGAAAAGAGAGTGGGTGTTAGTACTTATGGACTTAGTTCTATCTAGTCCTCTATAAAAAACTCAACTTTTAAAAGTGCATTTGTGGTACTTCCCTGGTGGTGCAGTGGTTAAGAATCCACCTGCCAATGCAGGAGACACGGGTTTGAGCCCTGGTCCAGGAATATCATCCCACATGCCGTGGAGCAACTAAGCCCGTGTGCCACAACTACTGAGCCCGCGTGCCACAACTACTGAAGCCTGCGCGCCTAGAGCCCGTGCTCTGCAACAAGAGAAGCCACCGCAATGAGAAGCCCATGCACCACAACGAAGAGTAGCCCCCACTTGCCGCAACTAGAGAAAGCCCGTGCAACAACGAAGACCCAACAGCAGCCAAAAATGAATAAATTAATTAATTTTTTTTAAAAAAGTGCATTTGCCTGAGGGGAAGATCTATCCTGTATTATTTATTACTGGGTTTGCTCTAAGAAGGAACAGGTGGGACTTTTTTCCTGGTCATTTGCAGAACTTGGTTGCATGATTAGGCAATTATTACTGAATGGCAGGAGCAGTCCTTTCCTACTCTTCAGAAACATCACTGGATTTATCTGAGCTGGAGGCAGAGATAAATAAGAAAATAAGACTAATTTATCACTCTGGTGTTAGTAGCTAAATGAGGCTCTATCTAAGGTTAATTATAAACAACATAATGAAAACTAATAACACTGGGAAAAAATCTTTATTATGGCATTTAAAAAAGAGAAGTACAGGCCTAGGAGCCCTTTCTATCAGCCTCTATAGGACGATTATATTCTCTCTTGAGTGTGCTGGAGTCATTCCGAGAAACATCAGAGAGATGAAATGTTGTTCATTCACTCATGTAATTGTACTGTATGCCTACTATGCGTCGAAAACTATAGTACACTTTGGGAACAAAGGATCAATAAGATACAATAACCTTCAAGGATCTGTTAGTTTAATGGTCAAGAGTGATAGCAACAGAAAATAGTGTGATAAAATCATAATGGAAGCCATCCAGGGACTGTGGGAGAGATAGAGGTTCACCCTATGTCCACCAGGTGTGAGGGGGTAAGGGGGAGTTAATGGAAGAGATGACCTCTCTTCTGGATCTTGAAGGCCAAGTAGAGATTCTCTAGCAGACAAGAGAGGATATATTCTAGGCAGAAGGAGTCACATGGATAGAGGCACATGTGCCTTCTATCCACATTTTGGTGTGGATAGAAATAAAATGGGAATGGGGAGAAGTAGAAGAACTGGACAAGTAGGGGAGCCAAGTAATGCTAAAGAGTCTTATTTCTATCTCGCAGGTGATGGAAGGTCCTTCGTGGACATAGCAGGCTTAACGTTTACCGAAGAAATGTGGCTAACTCAAACAGAAGCAAAATTTGCTGGTTCTGTTAATAGAGTTCCCATCAATCTTTAAGAAATGTATTTTGATAACTTTTGTCTAAAGAAGGCTTGTTTGTGGGAAGAATATATAGAAGAATGTGACTAGATAGAATCCCCACCTTCCCTCTCTGCCCCCCAAAACAGCATGAGCTGGATTGAGAGGTGCTCGTGTGGAGAAGTCAGGACAATAGAAGAATTAGAAATAAGACAATAAAATAGAAAGTGATCGGCTGGTGAGAATAAACTGGAAAAAGTAACGTGTCTCCAGGGAATATGATGAAATAAAGGCACAGGGTAGGGGTTTCAATTCAGTATCTCTTGTTAGGAGTTGCCAAGAGCATAATTGAGATGAGAACTTAGAAAAAGATGACTAACATTTTTGATTTGTAGTTGAAATTATTGTATTTTGGAATCTGGAAGCACTCAGTATATTACCAGATGGATATCCCTTTCACATAAGTCATTTATTAAATGCTTGAATTCTTACCATGGGTAAGGCTGTGTCCTAGAGGTAGACGGATACAAAATCCAATAAAGTGTGGCTCCTTCCCTCAAAAGAGGGAACAAGTATACAAACCAGTGAACAAATATACAAATAATTATAATATAAAACAGTACCAGTGTCATAGAAAAGGCTCAAATATTGCTGCTGGCTTAGAGATGGAAAGAAAAGCATATATTATTTACCAGCCTTAAACAATTTCACAAAACCATTTAAGTCCATGATTCTACATTACAGAGCTAGTGTTGGTGCTTTAGGATCTCATGTTTTTAAGATATGATCAGCTTGATTACAAGCCTGAATGCCTTAAGGAAAAGTTTATAATTTTCAGATGTCAAAGGATGAGAAAAAATCATAGTTAGAGGTTGTAAAAGAAGGAATTAATAGAATGTGTGACTAAGGGTTTGGCATACTTGGGAGGCAGCACACACAATTCTTGGTCTCCTGCCAAAGCTGGGAATGAGGGCCCATTTGGGGAGTTAAGTCCAATCTTTCAAGCTATGGATATCCTGTGACATCACCTATCCCTGTAGAGTGCTAAGTAAGGTTCTCATCAATTGCTATCTCCCTCCCAGTCTTTTGAAATGTTAGGGAAATGAAAACTAGTTCCTTTTTATAGCCGTATAAATACCTTTAGTTTCTGGGGTAAGAAAGTATAAAGAAGGAAGTAGAAGACCTCTTTTCCTTCCCCACCACTGCTTCTCCCCAGATACCCAAGAAATGTACTTAAGAAATTGGGCAAGATAATTTAGTTAAAACTATTATAAGTCAGGGACCTAGGATCCTGAATAAAATGCATGCTCTTGAAATTTTCCCCTGCAAGATCCAAGTTAGCTTTATGCCTCCTCACGTTTGAAACTCTGATTGCTAACCTCTTTGAATCCCTTTGCCTAGTTTTTCCAGCTTTCCATTTGTTGTTAGTCCAGGTTATTTGGAAATTTGAATTTTCTTCATGTTCCTAATAAGCATGCTAAATAAAACCAGATAATGAAAGTCATGCAATGGGACATCTCATTCTTCCCAGAGATGTCAGTTTTTGATTATTGTTGAAAGACAGTTAAATGGAGAAATATTTGGGGGAGTTCCACTGTTAAATATCCCTTGTTACTTATTCTAAGCCTTCCTCAAAGAAATTAATTGACATACATTGTTCTATTTCCAGGCAATTTTCAATTATTGTGATAGTACTTATAACCAAAAGTGGTTTTAATTAATTTTGTGAGTAAATTTAATGACAGCAAAAATGAATATTTATTGAAACAAAGAGAAATTAAATATATTGAATTATATGATTTGTTCTTTATTAGTGAGCTCTTTTTGCTCATGATTCAGTTAAACTTGACATTTTTTCCTGTCTTTTGTTTCCACTGAATTATGAGAATTAAAAAATAAAACAAAACAAAATGTAATTTGTGGCTTTAGTAGGAAGGACCAAGGCACAAAATGGCCTTTCTTTTCAGTCGAATATAAACTTTTGTAGTTGTTTTCTCTGAACTTAACATCTATGATATCTTATAAAATTTAAGGTTTGAATTGTTAAATTATTATCACTAGGATCATACTGTTATATTTAATAAAAGTATAAGAACCAAGTTTCTCCCTAATATTCTTTAACTTTTGAGCTCACCTTGAGTTTTTAAAATTAATACTTATTTTTTAAAATTGAGGATTCATCTTGATTAGTTTTGGAAATAGTATGGATTCCTACTCACCATGACTTTATAAAGGCAATTTCAAGATAATTGTCAATATCATAGAAAGCATATTGATTTTTAAATTCTTTTGTTTCCTAGACTAACCAACTCTTTTCAGTCAAATGGGAGCAAGGAAAATGGAAAAGAAGCTGATGGTAACATTTTTACCTCGGGTGTCTGAGCAGATGGCAAAAAAAGAAATGAAGGAAAAGAATATCTAAGAAGAAATTTAATAAATTATGCTTCAGGTATGTTGAGTTTGAAGTGCCTTTGCGACATCTATGTGGAAATATTTAGTTATTGAATTGTATGAGCTGTTTGTATATTTTGGAAATTAAGCCCTTACTGGTCACATCTTTTGCAAATATTTTCTCCCAGTCTGTAGGTTGTCTTTTCTTTTTGTTTGTGGTTTCCCTTGCTGTGCGAAAGCTTATACACTTGATTAGATCTCATTTGTTCATTTTGGTTTTATTTCTTGTACCTTGGGAAACTGACATAAGAAAACATTGCTATGATTTATGTCAGAGAATGTTTTGCCTGTGTTCTCTTCTAGTTTTATGGTGTCTTGTCTTAATATTTAAGTCTTTAAGCCATTTCGAGTTTTGTGTGTGTATGGTGTGAGGGTGTGTTCTAACTTCATTGATTTACATGCAGCTGTCCAGCTTTCCCAACACCACTTGCTGAAGAGACTGTCTTTTCCCCATTGTACATTCTTGCCTCCTTTGTTGAAGACTAATTGTCCATAGATGTGTAGGTTTATTTCTGGACTCTCTTTTCTGTTCCATTGATCCACAGGTCTGTTTTTGTGCCAATACCACACTGTTTTGATTACTGTAGATTTGTAGTATTTTCTGAGGTCTGGGAGGGTTATGCCTTCTGCTATGTTCTTTTTCCTCAGGATTGCTTTGGCAATTCTGGGTCTTTTATGTTTCCATATAAATTTTAGGATTATTTGTTCTGGTTCTGTGAAAAATGTCGTGGGTAATTCAATAAGGATTGCATTAAGTCTGTAGATTGCTTTGGGCGGTATGGCCATTTTAACAATATTAATTCTTCCAATCTAAGAGCATGAGGTATCTTTCCATTTCTTTGAATCATCTTCAGTTTCCTGTATTAATGTTTTATAGTTCTCAGCATATGTCTTTCACCTCCTTGATGAGGTTTATTCCTAAGTATTTTATTTCTATTTTTTGGTGCAATTTTAAAAGGGATTGTTTGTTTGCATTCCCTTTCTGATATTTCATTGTTAGTGTAAAGAAATATAACCCGTTTCTGTATGTTGATCTTGTATCCTGCTACCTTGCTGAATTCATTTGTCAGTTCTAGTAGTTTTTGTGTGGAGTCTTTAGGGTTTTCTATATATAGTATCATGTCATCTGCATATAATGACAACTTTACCTCTTCCCTACCAATTTGAATACCTAAAGAGGCAATTTAAAACAGCAGAGAATGAGGTTAAAATGATCCTTAAACCTTGCTCCCATCACCCATGAGGAAGTAGGGTCCAGAGGAAGGCCAGATCAGTTTTAGGACATAAAGAAGCTTTGCACACTTGAGTATGTTGTATGAATTGTAACACCAAAAGATGATTTCTGTTTATTATTGAGATTATTTATGGTGTTCATTGAGTAACAACTTGTAATAAGATTAGGACTCCACTTGAATTTCATTTTACCTCAGTCAGTCATGGTTCCATGCTTTTCCCATGACTTCAGCTCATAAATAAAGGTCATTTCCAGTTCAAAAAAATGAGAAAGAAGAAATTGGCTTTGTTTCTAAAAATTCCACTTACCTCTTTTTTGAGCCAGTCATTCTCCCAGATCTCTCGATAGCTGCCCTTGTCAATGAACCTTATAGCATTCTAAAAAAAAAAAAAACTTTTCTGTATTAAAGAAGAGCTGCCACATAGCATTTAAGAGTTTTAGCAATGGGGATACACAATCAACTTATCTGATCATTTAAAATTATGTTTTGCAATTACTTTGGAAATATACCTAAAAACTTTTGGTGCAGTTGTTCTTTCTTTATTATCCTATTGTATTGTTTTTGCTGATTTACGTTGCCTAATACAGGTGATTGAGAGAACTGGACAATGGTTGTCCATTCAATTTGGCCTCTATTGTGACTGAATCTGACTGCTTTGGTGAAATCAGTCATTAATTGATCTGCTCCACAATTAAGATGGTTAAACTGCAGTGATCAAACTTCCTTCAAGTTTATGGTCACAGACATAATTCAATATATAGCAAAGGCATGAATAGATTATATAACTACCTTTTTAATTTGAAAGATTTCTGCATGTCAATAATAACAATATACGTACTTACAAACCTAACAGCCAATAGTTTCAGGATAGCAGGCTGTAGCTAGATAGTCTCCTGGAGAAAGGCATTTTAGACAAAGCAAACAGGAAAATCCTTATTTTATCAGTAGGATCTTAAAATGTAAATTCATATTCAGTTACTAGGATATTTACAGTTTCACCCAAAGGAACTTTATAATGGATGACAGATTCTAGTTATATGTGAGGTACTTTTATATGGATACCGTGCTACAAACGCAGGAACTGAAGGACATAACCACAAGAAGAAAAATTAAGAAAAATATTCTGGTTCATAAACATGGATTGAAATAATTTAAAACTATGTTAAGGGTAAATTTGTGTAAGTCTTTAAAGTAGGAAGATGTGCAATAAATTTCTTTTCTTTAAATCATGGTAATTGACCTAAGAGTGAACCCCCATTTCCTAGGAACCAGGAATTTTTATACTTCAGCTCCAACTGATAAGTCTAAAGTTTATTTGAACATAGAATTTTGTTTGAACAAAAGTAGGAAGTCACTCATTATTGAATTTAGTTGACTAATGGCTTAATTCACTAACAATAGAGTAGTGTTTTCAGCTTTGGCTACACATTAGAATCTCCCAGATATTTTGAAAAATCCAAAAGCCCAGGCAACATCCCAGGCCAATTACATGAGCATCTCTGTGGGTGGGACCCAGGACCCACCTGGGTTAAACAAATTTCTCAGGTGACTCCAATAAGCAGCCAAGGTTGCACAAAAGTAGTAGATTTTAGAAGTTAACACATAAGATGGCCAGAGAAAATGAGGAAAATTCGTTCACGTGTGTGGGTGTTTGGCAGTATGTGGGGAAAAGAAAATGTACAATGTAATGATTAAGAGTAATGATCTGAAGAAGCTATCTTAACTCTCTATTCTGCCACATGCTCTGGGCAAGTTACAAAGTTTCTCTGTGCCTCTGTCTTTTTATTAGCAAGTCTTCCCCTTAACAGGATTGTTGAGAGACTTTAATGTAAAATGTTAGGAACAGTATTGGGAACAGTCTTCATTATATATTGAATGTACATACTGAGGGCATATTTGATCTACATATGCATTTTTAATCATCTTAACTATGATCAGATTACTTAATTGTTGATTTCACCATTTAATCATATTCAGTAACAAAGGGTCTGAATTGCATGGGCAGACAAAACCGTTGGTCAGTTCTCCACATCCTCTGTATTTGTGTTAATCAGTAAAATCATGCAGTAGAATAGTAACACTGAAAGAACAATTGAACCAACAGAGAAGCAACAAACAAGAGCAACTGAAATTCAGTGAAGAAAAGACCAGATGTTTACCACTCTGAAGAAAGGATGTTCCAGATAAAGAGACAATCCCAGCAGGGACCTCACTGATTTAGGAGATAGTCTGGAGACAGGGGAAGGGCAGTGAAAAGGAAAGAAAGTCAGGCATTTGGGGCAAAACAAAGATTAGAAAACATGAATTGGAAATTACATCTCAAACATTTTTTTTTTATATCCCCAATTTTTAAAGCTCCAGCAATGTAAAGTGTACTCTCTTAGGTTTGCATATGTAAGAAAGTACTTTTTAGACAAATTATATTTCATCCTATAATTCATCCAAAATCTAATTTAATAATTTGTTGTAGCCATTATTATTATACTTAAAAATAACTGAATATTAATTTACTGAGCTCTTGCTCTTATGAGGCGCTATCAATCCTCATACTATTCGTTAAAGTTAAATATTATTATTGTCCCCTTTTTATAGATTAGGAAACCGAAGCCCAGAAAAGTCAAGTATAAATTCAGTTTATACACCCAGTAAGTGGTAGAACTGTGATTTAAACTAAACTGCCTAATTTCAAAACACAAGTTTCTGACCGTTATAATACACCATGAGAAAGAAATGGGTGGGGGGAGCTTTGTTTTCTAAGGAAATTGAAATACAGACAGGAGAGGGTGAAATAGGTGAAGGGGATTAAGAGGTACAAACCTCCAATTATAAAATAAATAAGCCATGGGATGTAATGTACAGCATAAGGAATATGGTCAATAATAACTTTGTATGGAGACCGATGGTTACGAGACTTATCATGGTGATCATTTCATAACGTGTGCAAATGTCAAATCCCTCGGTAGTACACCTGAAACTAACATTTCAGTTAAAATCTTGAAATTCTGTGTGAGAAGAATAAAAATCTACTATCAGAAAAAAGAAAGAAAGAAAATTGAGATATACCTCTGTGGCCCATTCCTTCTTTTGGTTCAGTTGCAACAAAGTTTCTCTGATTATTCTCTTTTTGTCATCTTCCAGGGTGATTTTATACTGTTCTTTAAAAAGAAAATTAGAAACCTTAAGATCCTAGGTAAAACTATGAAGTTATAAATTTTATTTTCCATGATCCCCACCTCTCCTTTCTGTGTACTTTTTCTTTTCTGAATTTTCAAGGTACGTTCTTACTGAAGCATCTAGTACCTCCAATTAGAAGAAATGCTCCAATAATTTACTAACACCTTAATGTGAATTCGTTTACGATGATATCTGTCTCATGAATAGTCATAGTTTTAAAGGATTGTCTCTCCAAAGGGAGAATTTCTAACACTTTAGTACCTATGCAGCCGTCTACTTTTCATATCACACAACTTCTGATTCTACCACATAAATATGAAGAGATTTGATTACACACTTGAGTGGCATCCTGTACATCTAACTCCTTCTAACTAATTTTCCAATATTCTTGGCATGCATTTCCTGGGGCAGGAAACACAGAATAAGGAGAGAGAGTAGGAGAGGGGCTGTGAAAGTCAGTAGACCCGTTCTGAGTTGGGTTCAGAGCAAGAAGGGAGAACAGAGATGAAGAAGTGCAGGATTCTCTATCCTCTCCAGATTTTCTTACATCATAAATGTCAGAATTGAGAGAGCAAAGGATCGTAAAATTGGGGGCCTTGAAAGATGCTGAGAGGTCATATAATCAACACTTCTGTTTAAGGAAAGCAAGATGTAGTGACATGAAGGCTGCTTTAGAGAGTGGAGAGAAATAAAGCTGGATAAATGAGACCAGTTTGTTCATTCTTTTATTCAACGAATCATCATCAAGTTCTTTTGATGTGCATGACACTATTTAAGGCACTGGGAATATTGCCAAATAAGAGACAAAACTCCTGCCCTTATGACATGTACATCCTAATGGGGAAGCGAATGAATACTATTTCAGGTGGTGAGGTGTGTGATGAAGAAAAACTAAAATTCTCTGTTTTAGATAGGGTGATCAGAGAAAGCTCTTTTGAGGAGGTAACATCTGAGCAAAGACTGAATACAGTGAGGTAGTCAGTCGTGTGCAACAGGAGGGCAGTGTACCCTCCAAATCTAAGAATCGCCAAAGTTAGTTGTGCTTTATGATAACATCTATGTTATGTGTCCCCATTAGATGTGTTTTATTTATAACATTTGAAGCATAATTACTTGGAAGTCAGAAAGTATCTTCCCATACAAATGATGTTGACAATTACGGTTGCTAGATTTCTGGACTGGTCCCCAGAGACCCATTTAACTTATTCTATAATGAAACAATAGTATTGTACTGAGAGTGTTGTGGAACATAGCTGCCATTTAGGACATTGTTTCAAAGGGAAAAATTTCTTCACAGACCAAGTCAACCAAAGCCAACTCTAAGAACTCTTGAGGATCTTAGGCTACAGGGAAGGAGATCTGCTGGTCTGATCTTTCCATAGTTTAGAGCCAATCTAAGGCTCTGGAAAGCGGGGCAGGGAGCTAGGCAGGAGTTATTCAGCCCTCCTTGTATTTTGTACTGGCATAACTGCTTCCCCTATTCAAGGAAAACTCTGAGCAGAGTGTAAAAACTCTTCCATATCTTTCTATTACCGCAGTCTCTGGAACACAACAGATACTGAAAAATATTTTGAAGAAAATGAACTTTGGCCAGCTGCACGTCTTTGGTGGGCAGTGATCTGAGCCTTCAGTGCCAGGATAGAAGCAGCAAACAATGGCAACTTTGGTGAGGGAAAGGGAGAGTCGAAGGAGGGAAGGGGCGAGCTCTCCCAGGCTGTGGAGTGGCCAGAAAGGAGGCTGGGAACCATCAGTTTCTACCTCTAACAGAGCTGGAACAAGAGTGGCTGAGGTTTATAAACAAGAGTTCATTGGGTTTCGGGTCTAGTCTAACTTGACATCTGGAGAATAAGAAAATGGACATCTTCATTATTCCAACCTACACATATATATGGATATATATATGGATATGTATATATATGGATATGTGTAGGTATGTATGTGTGTGTATATCAATCTATCTGTATAAAACCTGTATTTTTCTTAATCCCATTCAAAGTAATTGCTTGAATGTTTTAATCATTCCAATCTCATTTCTGATGGATTGTTTTTTTCAGTTCAATATCTAGTCCACTAGACTAATGCTAGACATTTATTTAAAATTTCTACCACACAAAATACAACAATCAATCTAAAAGTTGCAGTGCATCAGGAGTTGAGCTATAATGGATTTTACATTCTTAGCATCTGAAAGAAAACATAAAAACTGGAGCTTGATAACATTATATATTAATTATTTGCTATAAATCATAAAAAATAGATTACCAAATATGCTCTGGGTAAAGTTGTAGCTCTCCCTCATGTTAATACTGAAAAAGCGATAATAACATCCAACTCTGTTCCAAATTCCATATACAACTCTATGGACTGTTTTTCTTCTCAAAAGCAGAGCAGCTAGCACAAGGGAGGATGTGAAAATCTCCCTGTTATCCTTTGAAGTTCAGAGGATGCTTCAGGTAGCAACTATTAACCACACATTTGTGAATACGGCCATAGAAACTGGGAGTATGTAAAAGTCTCCTTCCCAGAAAAGTTTGGAACACTGCAAATGGGAGCTTGGGAGATTATGACTTTGTGCCTTTAGACTCCTGGCTGCTCAGATGCCCGGTCTAATATGGTCACTTCTCAGAAGCTGACCACACTTCTCAGAGGCTGAAGCTTGCTTTGCGTTGTTCTCTTTTCCTTGTTGTGTGTGGCTCTGCTTTGGCTCTGCTCCACGGCTTTTTAGGAGTCTGTTCACTCTTCACACACTTCCGGGTGTCACCCAGCTTCACTGTGCCAGTGACTTCCTTTGAGCCCCCTCTGGAGAAAACCAAGCAAGGGCAGGTGGCAACACTGGCCATGTAGCGGTTTCTTCAGGCAGAGTGCATGTTAGAGAGCCCTCCCTACCTCGCTGCATCACAGAGCTGGGAGGACTTATTTGAAGCATAAGGGTTTGGGTCTGACACACACCTGTGTTCAAATCCCATTTCCACTGCTTACTAAATCTGTGAGTTTAGTTAAGGCAATTAACTTCTCCGGGCCTCTGTTTCCTCATCTTTAAACTGGGCACAATGGTATCCAACTCAAAGGAACTTGTACGAGTTGGATGAGATAAGGTATAGAAAAGCAGGTGCTGGGACTGTGAGTTCTGTTGGAGATCTCTGAGGTACTCTCACTTTACAGGCGAGGAAACTAGCATTCAAAGAGGTGGACATGAACCCAAGTGTTTTAACTCACTGTTAGTGTACAAAGAAACTTTTCAGGATCCCTGTCCCATGCACCTGGTCAAGGACAAAAGTAAAAACTCTCTGTGACTCTAATATCTGATGATTTGTAATAACCCATACTTTCTCTGTTCCTGAGCCTAATCTAAGGTTCCCTTTCCTTTTATTGAGAGAAAGAGCCTTGTCCTGGTTTTATCAGTGACTGTGTTTTCTACACCCTATATCCCGACATCTCCTTCTAGCTGAAGTTCAGGGAAGCAGCTCCAGGTTCTTCCTCCCCATGCCCCTAGGGCTCAGGGTGGCTACTGAATAAGATAGGTTGGACAGCTGACCAAAGAATGGTTTGTGCTGGGGCCAACCGATGACCCATGAGGAGGCATGGACGAAGGTCTTTGGTCACCTTTGACTAGATAGGTGATCACACTGGCTCTTTTCAGAATCTGGGTTGTAGAATACTGCAAGAATTGGTCTGTGGGAAGCAAGAAGAGAATGGGGACAGGCACAAAGAGCAAAGCAGAGGTGCCACAAGAGGGACAGTCACAGACCATGAGTGACAAATGTAGGGAGGAGCATCCCTAGAGCCACCACTGATCTGATGGCCTTCTGTTTCCATCTTCAGTCCTCCCATTCTTCAGTACACGTGTTACATCCAACAAACATGATCATGGGACATCAAGAAACCTTATTTTTCTCTCTTGCCTTTAAAATTCATACTGTGAGGCTAGAAGCTCTCTCTCAGTAAGATACATGGCAATCCTATGACTTTTCTGGTTCCTTTGTGATAACAAAATATCTTCCAATCAGAAATTAATATGTCTAGTCTTTATAATAATTGAAATTTTAAGCTTCATTTAAAGTTATGGCTGTTCCCTTCCTAGCTTAAACCTACTACCATTTCCTCTGACTTGAACTTCTATGCCTTCTTCCTCAGGGCTGAAGGGGAGCCTGGAAAGGGACAGGAAAGCACTTACTTGACTGATACTATCTCAAGCTGATGTCCCATTTTCTGGGTCTAGTTAGCATTTAAGATTGATTCTCCTCTCTTAGGGGTGGTTTTTGTAGGTTCTCTGGAGGACCGCCTCCCCCATTGCTAGTTATATTTTACCTGCATGCCCTTGATACAGGGGAAATACTGCCCTTGGAGGTTGGCTAATGACTCTTCCTTTGGCCTCTGGGTCTCAGTTTCCTCCTCCCTCCCACATAGACAGGCTCCTGTTTCTCTTTGGGGGCACCATGGCCCCTCTCATCAGCCCTCAGGCAAGATTTAACAGGACTGCATACCAGCTCTCTTTCACAACCGGTCCACAGGAAACACTCCTTCTCGCTTTGCCACAACAAACTCTGGAAGTGCAGGCTGCTACAGGCTGAAAGTCTCTGACCCCCCACCCGCGCCCGCCCCAGATTCTTAGGTTGAAACCTAATCCCCAATGTACTGGTATTTGGGTGGTCGTTAGGTCAGGAGGGTGGAACCCTTATGCATGGAATTAGTGCCCTTATGATAGAGACCCCAGAGAGTTGCCTCGCCCTTTCACTACGTGAGGTTACAGCAAATAGAAGGCATCGATGAACCAGGAAGCAAGCTCTCACTGGGCACCGAATCTGTCAGTGACTTGATCTTGACTTCCCAGCCTCCAGAACTGTGGGAAACAAACTTCTGTCATTTGTAAGACACCCAGTCTATGGTACTTTGTTATAGAGGCCTGAATGGACTAAGACACAGGCCCAGCCCAGGGCAGCAGCTGCCGACCTCTTCTTTGCTCTGATGTTAGAACAGTTACCTAGTCAGCCACTTATCCCATAGATTTTTTTCAGGGATGAGTCATAAACTAGATCTCAATGTCCCCCCACCTCCGCCCCAAACTGCAGGGAACACATGTTGAAGAATCTGAAGAATTTCCTTTAAAGACCTTCCGACTTGATTTGAGATGAAGGAGGAATTACCCTTCGCCTGCCCGTTTGGGGGACTGTGTACAACTCACAGCACACCAAGAGCTCTTTCCAAAACCTGTCTCCTTATTTCCAACAGTCTTTTCATGGCTTCCTCAACCTCTTTTATAGACTGGAATTCAGTGGTTGAAGGTGTGAAACCAGTTTTCTGCCTCATCATATTGGCAGCCTGCCTGGCGATATCTCACTTTACTTTGAAATGTGGTATCCATTATATAGACAACCAGGTTTAAACCGAGACTAAAATAGTTTCATTTTGATATCATGTTTCACTTACAATAAAGCCCCTTTCGACTAAAGTACTTGTTCCTTGCAATTAAAGCAGTCTAGCTAACACAAACTCCATGATCATGGGTGTGGGAGGAGAATTCTAGAAAAGTCATGGAAGAAGGAGAGAGGTGAGAGGAAAAGAAGAGATGGTGGTAGTAAGACTTCAGATAAATTTAATTTAGGAGTTCTACTCATATTCATTGTGCCCAGTTAGTGGCCCCCAAGGTGCTTTAATCATCCCCAGGCAGAATTGCTGCTGTATGGTTAGGAGAAGTGCCTAAAACTAATGGCAAATGAGATAAGCCCATAACAGCCATTATCCCATGACACTTAAAACAGGCTATACGCCAAGGCTCAACCAGCAGCATATAAATGTTATTACCCCCACCACAAAGTTGGATACAATAGCATGAAATTTTCAGCTCAAAGAAATCACCCAAATTTCTAATCAGGATAACGGGTTAAGTTTATATGAGAAGATCACTCTTCCTACTTAAAAACCATAAAATAAAGGAATGCTGGAAAAATTATTTTAAAAATTTTAAGCATACTAGAACAGTAACAATTTTTAAAGTGTGGTATTGTTGCACAAATATATAGATCCATGGAACAGAATAGAAAAGACAGAAAGAGATCCAAATACACATGGGAAATGGAAGTATGATAAAGTTAGCATTTTGGATCATAGGGTAAAAATGGCTTATTTAATAGGTGATGTTGGGACAACTGGAAAGCCATCTGGCAAAAAATAACGTTGGTTTCCTATCTCACACAAAAAAGTCAGAGATTAAATATAAAAATGAAGCCATAAAAATTCTAGAAGAAAAATATTAGAGAATGTATTTGTAATATCAGAAATCATAAAATCAAAGTGATAAGTTAGGCACTATAAAACTATAAAATTTCCTCATACAAACACTGCATAAACAAAAGACTAATGACAAATGGGAAAAATATTTGCATCTTATATCACAGTTAAAGAGCTAATTTCCTTGAAATGTAAACAGCTCCACAGCACGATAGAAAAATGGGCAAAGATGTGAACAGAAAGGAAATTCATATGGTTCTTGAACTTATAAAAAGATATTCACTGTTGCTTATAGTAAGAGAAATGGAAATTAAAGCTACAATGAGATACCATTTTCTACCTATAAGACTGGCAAAGAACAAAGAGGTGGATCACAACCCCTGTTGTTGAAGAAGTGGGAAAACAGACATCCTCACCACCACCAGCCGGAGTACATTTGGTACAACCTCTACGCAGGGCCATGCCTATCAGTGTAAAAATGAATAGGCTGTTTGGGCCAGCCATTTCCCTTTAGAGATGCACATAACTGAAATTACATACATACGAGGGTATTCATCGTAGTAAAATGAGATTGTGTAAGGATAGTCACTGCAGTATTATTTGTAATAGTAAAAGATGGGAAACAACCTAAATGCTTATGAGTAGGGGACTTTAAAAAATTATGGTACAACAAAGTAGCCATTGGGGGGATGAGGAAGTATTAATATGTACTCATCTATAAGGATGTCCATATTGTTACCTGAAAGAGCAAGTGAAAAATTGCATCTGTGGCATGCTGCTTGTGACATATATATACATACTGAAACATGCATGGACTCTTTCTGAAAGGTTACATAAGGACTGGTAATAGTGTTTTTATCTAGAGGAAGGATCTCAGTGGCTGGGGGATTGACAGGGGTAGGAGGGTGTCACTCTTACTTTCTTCTTTTGGCGAGGAGAAGCTTTTGAAAAATTGTAACTGATTTGGGGCCAAATTTACACTACCACTGTGGTACAGAGGCGCTGAGCCGAGAAACTTACATAAAAATTGGTCTAGAAGCAGACTGACTGTACAGAGCCTCAGAGGGGATAGTGGGAACGACCCCGAATGAACGCTCCTTCCACAAAACAGGGTACCATTACCAGCTGGGCTCAGAACTGCCATCCAACCACAGTGTTCTTTCAGGCCAGATTTCTCCTGAGTGTCTGGTGTTCTTTTAAGCCACTATGCCTCAGTGACAGACAGCTGGCCGGCCTCATAGTTCCCAGCTCTGATCCTGGTAAGACTCATTATGCCCGAGGCCACCCTGCTCTATACCCTCTTCACTTCCTGTCTTATGTTTGTTCTCCAGTTTTTTCCCCCCGACTGCAACTTAGCATTTACTTGGCCATTTTTCTATAACGATTCTGGTTGTCCAGCCTGGGTGGGTTGCCTCAGCTTGCCTCAGGTGAATTCCTTCTCTAATATAACCCCTTCCCAGGACTCCCCAACCTTGGTGGAATTGGCCCAGACCCAGGTGTGAGAGCAGGCAGACACCCACCCACTGAATGAAGCTTCTTTCTCAAAGTCGGTTGCAGTGTTTCTATACACACAGAGGCACACACTCCCATCCCTTTACTTCCCCTTCTCAGTTCCATAGGTGGTCCTGGGATAGTTTCTTTACTTCCTCCCTTCACCTAATCCTTAGGCGCATAGTGCTTGTGCTGACAGCTGAGAGTAACGGATGATTCGGGGGTACCCGTTTCTTTCTTCCACCAAATGTCTGCCCCTGAAAGATTTTTTTATTGAATCTGAACCAGCTTTCTTGCAACTGACCTGACATTTTCTCAGCATTCTCTTTAACTCTGTTGATGTCATTCTGTAAGGAGGTAATGAGTTTAGCATGTTGTTCACTCCCTACATTCTTGTACTCCTCCCAATATTCTTTCTCACTGAGTTTCTCAAGAAACAGTTTCTCAGCATTATTTATTTGGATGCGCATATCTGTTGAAAGAAAATCGAGACTTTCTGTCATTTCTATTGTCCTTGCAACCATTATATGTTGCAATCTGTTTTTGTGAAGTTAAGGTCTGATGTGAAAATATCAACTCTTAAATACCATTTTATATCTATAATTTAGGGAAATCTAAACTATTCAAACTATTGTTTATCTCTCATGATTCAAAATCTAAGTAAAATTAGACTTCCAATTATAAAGTAGTTGTGTGGTTTGGGGCTGTGATTGAGAGCTGTAACATGCAATCAACCTATATGCCTAGGGACCCACAAGCTTAAATTATGCCTGTGATAGCTTGATAAGTGTCCTGTTTTGTACAATATATTATGTCGCATATACTTTTTATTAGTAAATTGTCATTTTTCTGGTCATTATGTGTCTGGGCAAAGTGATTTCAACTTAACATCCTTCCACAGTACTTGGCGACCATTTTTGTAGGTAAGTTGTTTGATTCCATCATTTAAATTTCAATTGTTTGAGCTTCCCTTGTGTGAAATGATAGCATATGATAGTCATAATAACCTGCCTTCCCCTAAGCCCACACAGTGAGACTTCAGAGTGAAAGGTAAGTTCCCCAGTTACATGTGTACAAATATGGAGCCTCTCAATCATATAGACTTCCAGCTTGCCCTGGTGTACTTCCTACACATGATACTCTACTCAGTCTTTAGGCTGAGTATCATGCTGCTGAATATTCTGGAAAAGGCAGCATTACAAAAAGCCAGGTCCGATGAACTGAATGGCTATTTGACGCACTACCACGCACCATCTTGTTTGAGAGCCCCTGAGGGCAAGACCACGTCTTATTCATCTCTGTCCACCCAGCACTTGGCACAGAGTCTGGCATTTAGTTGGTGCTCAATCGATGTTTATGACTGAAGCATCCCATTCAGGCCAGAGAGGTGTTCTTCAGTCCAAAGGTCCAGGAGTTCTCCAGACATGTCTTTTTCCAAGACATGATAATATATTTTTAATATATCTATTTTAATATATACTTAATATATTAAGAATATAAGATAATATATTTTAAACTCCCTTAATAAATGGTACTTGTTATTATCATTAAACAATTAAGAACACTGCACCCCAGTGATCAGCTGTCCTCCGATGTGGGCAGACTGTTGCTGTCTCAGCCCTGCACCATGTTCAGTCTTTGTGGGGAGGGTTGATTGATGTCACTGAAGCTTTTGAAAGAGAGGGGGGTGTAGTGACTGTTGCTCTACTTTCTCAGAACCCCTTTCTCTCTTCCCTTCTAGTAACACATGTCTCCTGTCCCTTGTCATATAAGTAGACCGATTACAGTCGCCCCTTCTCCTGGCTTTAGGGATTGGTCCAGGGCTGAGCAGGTGCCCCAAGCTGGGCAAATGCTCGGAGTCCTCCCCTAGAAATATTTTCACTGGTGGAAAACATGTCTCTTTTGTCTCCACTTTGAGGTTATAAGGAGGTAAGTTCAGAGGTGTCTCTGGTCAGAATTCCAGCCTCACGGGGAGAACATTCTCAGAAAAAGGAGCCAACTTTCAGGGGGAAGGCAGAGAGAGAAGACGTGTAAGAGGAGCAGCGGGTGGAGGGAGAGGAGGTGGGAAAAAGAGGGAGGGTGATACAGGGGGAGAGAGAGGGGCAAGACACGGAAATTAACAAAAAGACGCTGAGATCTGACAGCATGTGAGGCTCTGGGTCCAGGTCAGTAGCACTCTGCCTTTTCTGTCTGGTTACAAGAAAAAATTAACATCTTCTTTATGCTTGGACTAGTTTGGATTGGATTTTTATCCTTACAGCTGAAAGAGTCCTAACTAAACATTGGAAGAAGGGAGTTTTGTCAGCACTTCTCAAACTTTACTGTGCGCAGGACTCCCCTAGGATCCCGTCCAAATGCAGATTCTGATTCAGCAGGTCCGGATGGGGGTCTGAGGTTCTGTACTATCACAAGCTGCCAGGTGAAGCTCCAGCTGCTGCTCCACAGACCAAACTGAGTTGAAAGTGACTGACTACCTGGTACAACATGTCACTGCCTCAGGGATCCTTTGTAGACACATCTGTTCTCTCTTTCCTTCTCTTCCTCAGCATCTGTGGGCTTCTTTCTTCCTTGGACTGCTGCACATGCCCAGCCCTCCTGTTCTTAGTCACCCAGCATGTCCCCAGTCTTGTATGACACACATACCCCAGCACTCAGCCCAAACCACAGACAGGCACACCTTAACTAACCGGGCCCATTCCCTTTGAAGGCAGTTTAGGGAGCACATCTAAGTATCTGCTTTGGTCTCACACCCATCTCAAGGGTGTGACTTCTTAAAGCATTCCTTCCGAACATAAGCAGAACTCTCCTAGACAGGAGCCCGACCAGGAAATACGTCTACCACCTCATGACATCACTGTTGTTCACACAGGGACTTGGCAGGAGGAGGCTTATGGGAAAGTTTTAGAGACCCCCCCCCCAAAAATGAAATTTGCTGATTGACCTTTGGCGTTGGTAACTATTTCTTTCAAAATAACAAATATCTACAAAGGGAATGCCTGCTCTGCGCCAAGCGCTTGGGTAAGGAGGCTCTCTAAAATGCTTGGGGAAACTCAAGAAAATCTAGTCCATTTTTTCGCCTCTCAGATTCTAATACTGCTTCCTGAGAGCACTCAAGTCTCTCCCTTGTTATCCAGCTTCCTAGCTGAGATGGTATTTATAGAGGTTCTGGCAAAAGTTTTAGAAATCTGAACAGCAAGTTTATGATGAAGGGATAGGATTTTTTTTTTTTTTGCGGTACGCGGGCCTCTCACTGCCGTGGCCTCTCCCGTTGTGGTGCACAGGCTCCGGACACGCAGGCTCAGTGGCCATGGCTCACAGGCCCAGCCGTGGCATGTGGGATCTTCCCGGACTGGGGCACGAACCCGTGTCCCCTGAATTGGTAGGTGGACTCTCAACCACTGCGCCACCAGGGAAGCCCTGTCTTTGTTTTTAATCACTGCCCTTACTCCTCCTCCTCGCTTGGCTTCAGTATCTCCACCCACTTTATTTCCCTCTCTCCTCTACTTACTTATATGTGTTTGTGGTTGTGGTGATGATGTCATTTGAAATGTGTTCACAGCCTTTTGAACATATTAGGAGACAAAAGCATTAATACATTCAAGAAATAACTCGATACAGCTTTATGATAATTTTCTAAGTTTCTAAATCACCTTTCAAGTTTTGTTCCTGGTCTCTTTCAAACTTCCATTTTTCCTTCATTGCTTCTTCAACTTCCTCTCTTGTTACAACTGCTAATCCCTTTGACTTCTCCTCACTCAGTTCCTTTAGTAGGTTCCTTATGTGCCAAATCTGTTCATCCTTTAAGCGTTTATTCTGTCATGAATATCAACAGTTGTTAATTACATCTGCTGAAGTACTTCCATTGATTTCCCTCAAATAGAGTTACACATTGAGGTTTGCAAAATGACAGATATTTAATGAAATAAGTTATTCAATAACATGTCTAAAGAACATATGGAATATGGAAGACTCAAAATTAAACCCATCAATACAGTAATCACTGAAGAGAAAGTTACATATTAAAACCTGCGTTATTAATCTGCTAGTCTATCACCCTATCATAGGATTGGTGAACATTAAAATTAGATTTCAGAGGTCAGTTTCTTCAACTCCCACAAACACCTTGCTTTTCTAGGAAACATCGTTCATTTAGTCAATATTTATGGGGCATCTACCATATGCCAGGTAGTCTTCGGGACACTAGGAATATATCAGTGAACAAAACAGACAAAAGTACTGCTCTTGTGGAATTTACATTATTCTTTGTTTTTCTCACAAATGACCCTAATTCTCTTGTTCTGGGGTGATGGTTACTATTTCAATACTCCACACCTGAAGTATGGACTGTGTTCCTTTTGTGAATATCCCACCTATGTTTCCAAGTTTCTTACTTAATCAACTTAGAGTTTATTCTTGCCCTTCCTAGCTTATTATGTATATGTAGAGATATTTTACTGTGTGTGAACTTAATACCTTTTCCTTGTAATTTTCTTAGCCTCCCTTTAAGTTTTAATTCTCACTTTCCTGGTGCCTCTCCTTCAATTTCTTAAACCTAATAAAATGCACAAACTTAAAATATTCTAATACTTCTTTTAAAAATTATTTTTCCTATAATTTAACATTCTCTTTACTATAGCTTTTTCAACATTATATTTTATTTCTGATATTCACATCTTTTATCCTCTTAACCTACATGGATACTCTACTGTAAGAGTATTTTCTTTCCCAAAATTTATTCTCTGGGCCAGTGCTTTGCAGACTTCAATGTGTATACCCAACACTTGGGGACCTTTTTAAAATGCAGATTCTGGTTCAGTAAGTTTGGTATGAAGCCTGCAATTCTGCACTTCTGATAAGCTCCAGGTGATGCCAAGCCTGCTGGCCCGCAACCCACAGTTTGGGTAGCAAACTTCTTTCAGGTAATCCAAATATCTGTGATTTATTGATAGTGCTACGGCCTACTAAAACTCAATTCTTTAACACTTAATCCAACAAACTTTAAAGTTGAGGGCTGAAAATTTTGATTTCTAGTTTAATAAACTCCCTGGACAGGATTATGTAACCTTAGTGCTCTTTAAGTTATTCCACAGGCTGCGTGACATTATTGCCATTTCAGTGCATTAGAATTTTAATTTAAAACTTTGATAAGCTGAAAGAAAGCAACAGACAATTAACTTTATGATGATGCTCAGTATTGAGAAATACAGGCCAAAAAAAAAAAAAAAAGACTGGGACTGGACAGGCTTTGAGTGATTTCAAAAAAATGGAAATAAAGATTAAAAAGATATGGGCTTCCCTGGTGGCGCAGTGGTTGAGAGTCCGCCTACCGATGCAGGGGACATGGGCTTGTGCCCCGGTCCGGGAGGATCCCACATGCCGCAGAGCGGCTGGGCCCGTGAGCCATGGCCGCTGAGCCTGTGCGTCTGGGGCCTGTGCTCCGCAACGGGAGAGGCCACAACAGTGAGAGGCCCGCGTACCGCAAAAAAAAAAAAAAAAAAAAAAAAAAAAAGGTTAAAAAGATATGATATTCAAAATTTGGTCGTTTAACTTCTCTGATCTTTTGTTTGTAATATTCTAAAGTATCATAATTCTGTCTCTGAAGAATTTTTAGTACCGAAGGGTTCATAATATATCTGAAAACTGAATCTCTTTCCTTCTGTGTAAAATCTTATTGGGCATGATGTAAGCAGGAATGGTGGAATAAGACTTCTGAAAATCCTCTCCTTCATAAAAGCAATGAGAAAAAGTTGGCAAAAATTGTCAAAATCAACTTTTCAGAACTCTTGAAATTAAAGGCTTTGCAGTAACTTCCAGGGAGTGTTTATTCAAGAAAAATGGTTGAATCTTGGTAAGGACAAGTGAGCTTTGTGGCATTTTAACGTGCTCTAAAAACCAAAAGCCCAAGGTTACGGTAAAAACCAGCAACTTAGCAGCCTGGGGTTGAGGGTCATGGAGAGAAGTGAGGGGAACAGAACTCTTCCAAAGCTCAATTCCCAAATAACAGTCATTATTTGACCTACCTGGTAATTCCCTGGAAAAATCCCACTGGGAAACCTTGTCTTTATTTGACCTGAGTCAGAGCTTACCCAATGTGTGACCAGCCTTTTCCCAGATTGATGTTGGTCAAAAACAATCAGAGGCAGATGTTTGTCAAAAATAATCAACAATTGTTGAACATTACAGCTCCCTGAGGCGGTAATAAAAGTTGAGGTAAACAACAAGCTGACCAAAAAACTTTAAAAGAAAGCTGCAGATGAGATGTAGAGCGCTTTGAAAGCTCTGACATATTCCTGGGAATCTAAAAGGCCACATGCATGTATAGGGCATATATATAAATTTAATAACATCTATATTAAACTTCCCAAATCCTGTATGAATTTCAAATAGAAAGGAAATGTGTCTGACAATGTTATAAAATTCGCTATGTCTGAAAAATTATTTTGAGCTACATACCAAAATAAAATTTATTTAAATATATCCACCAATATGCTAAAAAACATTTATCTTACGAAGTGAAGTACATTTATTATTTGAGGTAAGAATAATTATCACATTATAAAATAGAAGAAAGGAAATTTAGTAATTAAGCTACAAAGAAAGGATTAATTTTGTTTTGTTATAAGGCCATCTCATGGTCTTTTTTTTTAACTTTTTAAGACTCACAAGAACGAGAATAGAAGTTGCCAAAATAGGACACACAGTTCCCATCTACTATTCACCCAGCTTTCCCCAATGATAACATCTTATCTAATGATAGTACAGTATCAAAACCAGGAAATTGACATTAGTACAATGTTATTAACTGAACTAGAGACTTTATTTGGATTTCACCAGTTTTTACATTTTTTTTAGTGTATAGTTGTGATATTGTAATCTATAAAAATATATTTATTTGGTCATTCAGATGACTAAAACATATTTCTTTGCTATATTTGGTTTTCACCCATAGTTCCTGGTCCACAGTGCCCAAAACCCTTGGAATTTCTGCCATCACAATTGGGTTTATGTTAATGAAAGTGACTTTTGAATCCCATAGGTGGGGAGAGAGGGAAGGGGCCTGGTTGCCAGGAGAACCAACCAAATTATTAGAGGGTTGGAACTTTCATTCCCTCCCCCTGATTTCCGGGGAAGGGAGAGGGACTTGAGGTTGAATTAGCCGCTATTGGCCAATGATTTAGTCAATCATGATTATGTAATGAAGCCTCCATTAAAACCGGAACAAGGAGCGTCTTTTGGTCCTTTTTGAGAGAGCTTCCATGTGACACTGTGTTAGGCCCCAAGCTTCATAAGGACAGAAGCTCCTTTGTTCAGGACTTTGCTCTATGTATCTCTTCATCTGGCTGTTGATTTTGATTCATATCCTTTAATATCCTTTTTATGATAAATCAGTAATCTAGTGAGTAAATGGGTTTTCCTGAGTTCTGAGAGCCATTCTAGCAAATTAATTGAACCTGAGGAAGGGGTTGTGCAAGCCTCTGATTTATAGCCAGTCGGTCAGAAGCACAAATAACAACCTGGGCTTGCAGCTGGCGTCTGAAGTGGAGGGTGGTCTTGTGGGACTGAGCCCTTTACCTGTGGAATCTGATTCTGTCTCCCGGTAGGTAGTGTCAGAGTTGAGCTGAACTCTCAGACACCCCGTTTGTGTCTGAGATTCTCTTGCTGGTGAGAGGAAGCCTCCACACATACAAGTTGGAACTGGGTCGGGAACCCTTTCAATAGGATTATGAATTCTGTCACATATGAGAAGTATCACCATGAAGATGGCATTTGAAGCCATGATGTTAAATAAGATGATCCAGAGAGAGTTTAGAGTGAAAGAGAAGGATGGAGATCAGAACCTCGATACATACCCTAATTAAAGGGTGGTTCTAGGAAAAGAACAATGAAAACCAAGAAGAAATGATCAGAGAAGTAGAAGGAAATTTAAGAGTGATATCCTGGAACCCAAAGGAAAAAGAGTTTCAAGATGACAGGAATGACTGCTGAAGGAGTAAGGGGTAAAGAAAGGACTACAAAGAGTCCATTGAACCTGGCTAACTGGTCATTAACAACTTTTGCTAGAGCGGCTGTAGGGGAATAGCAGAAGTGAAAGTATGTGTCGGGAAGTAAGGATGTGGACATACTGAACTATGAAATATCTAATGATGTAGTGGAGCAATGAATGCAAACAGAGAAAGAAAGATAATAAACATCTAAACAGAACTAAACACATAGGAAGAGATGATGGGTAGGAAGGGAGAGGGGCATTTCCGATTTCCACATAACTGAAGAGAAAAATATATCGTGCTAATGAGTCATGTTTAACTTAGCAATTTAAATATCTGTGACCTCAAATTTTTTTCCTCCCACTGGTGTTTGTGTGAATCAACTCAATATATATTTATTGAACATCTACTCATGATGGGCCTTTCTGGAGAAACAAAGATAAGATTTGATTGCTGCTGCCTAAAGGGCTTTCAAGTGAATAATGGAGAAATATTTTTACACGACATCCTAGCTCAGATGGGGGGAATGAACAGGGGCTAGCCAAGAGAAGAGCATTTCAGGAAGAGGAAACAGCCTTTTTGTTGTAAAGGTACCATAGTAAGAAAAAGATTGGGTTTTCTAATATTTAAAAGAAGCAGGGGTAAGCAAAGGGTGGGGCGGCTGGAGACAAGATTGGAGAGGTGAGCAGAGGTCAACTTTTGCAGGGCCTTGAAGACTTTAGGAAGGACTATGGATTTTACTTTGTGCAGTAGGAAGCCACTGCAGGGTTTTAAGCACTGAAAAGTTTACCGTATTCCAAGGGTAATTCTGGTTGCACTGTGGAAAATGTACTGGTTAGAGGAAGGATGGGTAAGAGAAGATGGTGGCTTAAACTGTGGCAATAGCAGCATAAATGGAAAGAAATAGATACATACGGTTGAGCTAGAGTCTGCATTACCGTGCTCCTCACTGCTGGGTCCACTAATGACTCCAAGACCTATCGCATTCTTGAGCTAATCCTCATGGAAACAAGAACTTTGTTTCTGGCTCCAGTTGATGGGTTATGGGAAAGTGATTCCTCAGTCCTGATCTGTTGTCCTTTCCACAACCAAATGGAAATCCCAAAGCTGGCCTGGGAGTTCCCATGCTGACCACTAGGGGATGTGCATTGGCCCCTGGATGGCAGCTCACTCTCATGTGCTCTGGAATCACATCATGCGGAACCTGCCTCCAAGTGCCTAAGCCAGACTTCCCCTTTCCACTCTCATCCACAGACTTCAGTTTCATCGATCCTATTGCAAGTATTTGATTCTTCAGAATCATGACAATGTCAGGGTCACAGTTATATCACCACCAGGGCTTGTCTTGCCCAATACATATTTGCCGAACAAATACACCCTATAAGGAAGACAGGAATCCTCATTTTACAAGGGGGAAATTGAGGCTTACACCAGTTTGGCCAAAATGACATCAGCAGAAAGTTGTACAGTCAGGATGCAAATTTAGGTCTCTGACCCAAATTCTGTTAAAATTTGTAGTCTTTTTAGACAAAAGCCAAATAAAACAGGTGTGGAAATTTCAGGGTACATATAAAATAAATGTTTTAAGAGCAGACACCCTCAGTATTTCCTCACTCATGAGACCCCTTAAGGGCTAAGTTGTATGCGTCATCATTTACTGCTTCCTAACTTTATTTCTGTTGGTCCTGAGAGTCATACACGGCACCCCTTTGATAGTCATTTTATTCTAATTTCATAAAAATAAATCACTTAAACAATAAATTAGTCATTTTAACAACTGAGATTGTACTTTTCAGATAATCTTTACATATGCACACACTCTGAAAATCTAAAGGAAAACAGATACAGAAATTTAAAATAGAGAACCAATGTTTTATAGTGTGGTTAAATAAGAATTTAAAAGATAAATGTGGTTGCAGAGCTTTAAAATTTTCAACATAAGATTCAGTGTCCGCATGATCTAAATAACACAATTCAAGCTGACTTCCTTTGACATTGTAATTAATATAATAAGAACAGCAGTATCCTCTTGTCTCCCATGTACAAAAATGTATTTAAATATAGTGTAAATTTATCAACTCCAAGAGCTAAAGAAGATAATTTCCTAGAGTTCATTTCATCATAACTCACAATTTTTTAAAGCATTTGTGTAAATGTTTAATGACTAGATATTGGCTTTAAATTTTATACTTACTCTTTCTTGATACTTTTGGTTCTTTTCTCTCATTTTCTTTATTTGAGCCATGTATCGTTCTACTGCATTTTCCTTTATTTGACAGCTGATAACAAAGACAAGATGTATTTTACAATTGTTTGCCTTAGGAAAAACTAATGAGATAAAATTTAAAAATTAATCTAAATTAATTTGAATTGAAATAAAGTATTAAACCTATTATAAAGACCCATTTAGGGATAAGAATCTTAAGTGATTTTGTGTTTCTGAGTATATTTTACTCACTAAAATATGTATTAGAGAGATAACTTCAAGCTTTTAAAACTTGTCGTTGTGGATGTGGTTTCATATACATTCCTGCATCACTGACAACCTGAATTTTCTGAACTGTATCAAACTCAAAGACACCACCAGACGTTTTCAAAATAATATCTGCCAGCAGCTGCCAGCCGCAACCTTATGGTCTCAAGGTCTCCCCTTATAACTGTGTGATGATTTTGGACCCCAACCAATCCTTGCTTAACAAGCACCCTTACTTCTTGCCAGCTCCAATCCTAATTCTTGACAAACAACGTGTAACTGTGGTTTTTTGCCTATATAAGCCCCCCCATTTCATAGTCAGTGGAACACAATTCAAGTGCTTCTTGAATCTGTGTCTCCTGGGCTATAGTCCTCAGTTTGGCTTGTATAAAACTCTTTTCTATTTTTATTACAGGTTGTTTGTTGAGTATTTGCCTCAACATAGTAATGTGTCAACTTCCTTCTTCCATGCAATTTCATTGAAAATTCTGAGAAAGAAAACAAAGTTGGATTCCAAAAAAGAATCTACAATTTTATCTTTTTAAACCCACAACTATATCCATACCTATTTCTATCTCTATATACATACTCATTATAGAAAACTGGGTTTGGGGGAATAAGTATAAAGGAAAAAATAAAAACCACCATTACCTAGAGATGATCACTTTATAGATTTAGCATTATGTAATAAGATATTTTGAGAGAGGGAGAGAAAGACCACATTCACATAACTTTTAATACAGTATATTGTTATAATTGTTCTATTGTATTATTACTTATTGTTAATCTCTTACTGTGCCTAATTAATAAATTAAACTTTATCATAGGTATACATGTATAGGAAAAAACATAGTATATAAAGGGTTCGGTACTATCTGTGATTTCAGGCATCCACTGGGAGTCTAGGAGCGTAATCCCTGAGGATACAGGGTGGGGGAGAGACTAAGAGATGATCACTTTATAGGTTCAACACTGGCAGTCTCAGCTTTTCACAAACAACCATATAGGTTCATGACTTTATTTTCTTGAGATAGATTTTGTTTTAAGTTAACTGTTTGGAATTGACTACCTACTGTGTGCCCTCGGCTCTTTGTCAGGAGCTGAGATTGTATAAGAGAAGTATAAGATGCTGCCAGGGGACCCTTGGATAATCCTTCCTCAGATGGTGGAGGGAGGTGACCTGGCTATTTGTCATGTGACAAAAGTCCTGTTACCTCGGAACACATGGAATGAGTAAAGCGTCACCGGAAGAGCACAGTGAGGCCTAGGCTGTTCAGTCCATGAGATTATTTATTTAGTTTTAACAAAGGAAAGAGAACAAAAGCATGGGAATGTTCAACTTGCGTCTCTCACTAGATCATGAGAACTTTTAAACGTGTGCCTCTTTGTAAACCTCTGTTAAAGAGGAGAAAGACTGCCCTCTGGTTGACCCAGAAGAGAGAGAAGGAGCTGTAAGTGGATGTCATCACTGTGAGCCGTGGAAGCAGATTAGAGACCAGATTGTAATCACAGAGCTGGACTTTTTGTCCACCTCTGCTAAGACAAGATGGGCGAAGTTTTCAGTTATGCTGAGAAATGAGTGCAGGTACAATCTGGTCATCACTTAATTGTTATCTAGAAAATAAAGGGAACTTCGTTAAAAGTCCCTTCCCATGGATGTTTCTCTCTCAGTGTTCTGACCCTTTCACTCACTATCTTCTAAAAAGAATAAATGAATAGATTTGGAGTCTTGCAGGGAGATGGATTTTCCCTGAATGTTGTTAAAAACAATTCTCTTAAACAAAGGCCTAGTCACCAGCAGTGTGGACTCCTGACTTTCAACCTTGTTGCCCTCCAATAAATGGCTTCCCATTTCCAAAGCCCAAGTGTTCCACAGGGGTCTGCTTATCTGACCCTTGCCTAAACCCCTAGAGTCTGCTCTGCCCTCTCTCCCTCAATCTGCCATTTCTCACTTCCTAGACTGTGATAAGCTCTTCCTCACCCCAGCCTGTTTTCCATAAGCCTTCTGTCCATCACGCTATGTCTTCTTAACACCTGTTCCTCTTTCAGAGGTTAGCTCAGCATCGCTTCCTCAAACAAGCTTTTCTTGATCTATTTCAAGTCCTTCAGTTACAACTAAGCCCGTGAGCCACAACTACTGAGCCCGTGAGCCACAACTACTGAAGTGCTTTTGAGCACTTCATTTTCCATTGGAGTCATATGAGTCTTAGCAGCAATGATTGCCACTTACGTATGGGAACTTTGGGATTTCATAAACTTAGCTTACTGATAGTCGAGAAGTGCTTCACTGATAGGCAATTTGACCTCTTTTGGCGGTCCATCTTGAATATCCTTTTTATTTGTTTTTGACGTGTTTTCCATTGTGTTGCTTAGCTAGAAAGAAAAATACCTGTTTTAAAAAGAGACATAGGAAGAATAAATAAATTCTCTGTCCCTCTACTTGTATTTACGCGATAAAGCACTGCTGGGACTTAATTTAAAGCTGGCTCTTGCATCCAGATTGCTTCCACGTCCCAAGAGCTAACATCCACCACAATGCTGGGACCTCATGAATCAACTGGATTCTTGAGTCTGGTGAGTTCCATGCTTAGCCCAGGTGCAGCATTCCCCCACCCAAAACTGTCTGAGACTCACTCTCTTACATTATCCATCAACAACTGTTGCCCCTGTCAAGCTTCTTTAAGAGCAAGGGCTAAACTTTTTCAATCATTTAATGTCTCCACAGTGTTTGGCAGAGTGCACCACATGTAACAGCAGCTCGACATACGTCTTTTAGTTTTTAAAAAGTAAGCCAAAACAAAAGCACAACTTTCTATGAGCACCAAGAGACTAGGCTCCAAAAGAATTAGAACTGGGATCCAAAAGAATTAGGTTTGGCCAGGATTGTTATAAAGAACAAATAAAAGGACACATTAAAGTGTTTTTTAAATGGTTAAGAGGTTTACAAATGCAAAATAAAAAGAAGAATGATAATAATAATGTGTTATCATTAACAGTAACTGTTCATCAGCTATTAATTGCTTTTGTAACTAATAATAAAAACTATCAAAACTAATATTTTTTAAACGAGAAAATCAGGCCCAAGGTTCTTAGATTTTTATGGGAAGCAGAAATACCTTGTGGATTTGGTATGGATACTAATGCACATCTTTTAAGATCATAGTCTTCCTTGACAGATTTTTATCTTTTGATTTTTATTAATCTCAAGAAAATAAGTGCCTAACCTTCAATCAGTGTGTTAGTAGTTGGGTGTGGTAGAAAGAACATAACCTTTGTAATTATTTGTTAAAATGGCTGGAAACTCCATGAGAGTGGGGATGATGTAATTCTTGTGCATTACTGTATTTCCCCACCTAGCACAGTAGATGCAGTCCTTGTCAAATGAATGAATGGACAGGTGGATGAATCAGGCAGACATATTTCAATCCTAGATCCACCATCTTTTACCTGTGTGACCTTGAGTAGGTTACTGAATCTTTTTGAGCTTCAATTCCATCATTTCCTAAAGTAAGAACAAAAATCTTATTCTAGGGCTTCCCTGGTGGCGCAGTGGTTGAGAGTCCGCCTGCCAATGCAGAGGACACGGGTTCGTGCCCCGGTCCGGGAAGATCCCACATGCCGCGGAGTGGCTGGGCCTGTGAGCCATGGCCGCTGAGCCTGCGCGTCCGGAGCCTGTGCTCCGCAACGGGAGAGGCCACAACAGTGAGAGGCCCGCGTACCACAAAAAAACAAAAACAAAAACAAAAAATCTTATTCTAAATGCTGTAGTAAGGATTAAATAAGTTAATATTTAAAGCACCTAGCATAGTGTCTGACATATAGAAAGAGCTTAATAAGCATTCTGCCCCTTTAGTTATGGCTCCAGATTATGCTTCTTTAAATTTCAGGTAATTAAAGCAGAGGATGTCTGCCTGCTGCGAAGTATGATGAGAGGTGTAAAGGCTAATCCAAGTGGTTTGCTGCTGTCAGCCTTCATCGCTGATTTGGATCACTGAATAGGCAATCTACACAGGTCATTCAGATCCAAAGTGGAGAAACTCTGAAATGAAAACATACTTTTCCCCCGCAGACATGCTGCTTACATAACCAGACCTCCAGCAGGGCTCAGTCTTTGTGGCTGAGACTTTTCTTTTCTAGCCAAGCGTGTTCATCTCTGCATCCTAATAGATTCTAGTATTCATGCATGCAAATATACTACAATACTTTTTAACCTTTTTGCAATGAGCTAATGACATTGCCTCAAAATGTACTTTTGCATTAATGTACTACAAACAACGGGGATTTTAATAAACATTTACAAGGATTTACAGTTCCTGACCACCTAGAGGATTTCTATCTCAGCATGTCTTTTTTTTTTTTGATGTGGACCACTTTTTTAAAGTCTTTATTGAAAATCACAAAGGTGACACATCAAAAAGATTTAATATATTAAGACACGGTAATATATTAAGGGATATCTTCTCAGATATGAAAGTATTGAGAATAATTCTATAAGCTACACACCAAAATGTTTCATTATACCATCACAGGTCACAGAAACTTATSAGCTAGGAAAAAAATTTGCTTTCTTTTGTTTCAGATGTAGAATTGAATTTTTATATTATTTTCTATTTTAGAATTTGAATGTTTAAATTGACTGTTGCACAAAAACATAGCATGTTGTCAAATATTTCATTTTATAATAACAGTATTTAACAAAAACTTTTACTATAAAATATTTTATTTAAAAGGTAAAACAACATTAATTTCTAATTTTTTTTCTGAGTCATATAGAAGAGATCAAGAGTTATGGTTCCCACCTATGGTACCCATCTGGTGCTGGAGGAAAAATGACCTCATCTTGCCCAATTACTTCAGTTACCTGGCTCTAATGTTTTCAACTCTCTGACCAATGTACAATTAGTTACCTAACTGCAGCTCATGGCAAAGGATTTTAATAAAATATGAGTGAAAATGTAGATCCATTAAGCACAAATGATTTGTGCATAAACTATATTAAGATTCATTGTTTCACACACTTTACAGAAAATTAGTAAGCCAATTGGATTGCCTGCTTAATAGCTGCCTTTTTGCAATGAGCTAATGACATTGCCTCAAAATGTACTTTTGCATTAATGTACTACAAACAACGGGGATTTTAATAAACATTTACAAGGATTTACAGTTCCTGACCACCTAGAGGATTTCTATCTCAGCATGTCTTTTTTTTTTTGATGTGGACCACTTTTTTAAAGTCTTTATTGAATTTGTTACAATATTGCTTCTGTTTTATGTTTTGGTTTTCTGGCCCTGAGGCATGTGGGATCTTAGCTCCCCAACCAGGGATTGAATCCTCACCCTCTGCACTGGAAGGTGAAGTCTTAACCACTGGATTTCCAGGGAAGTCCCAGATGTCTATCTCAGTAAAAGGTGAGAATTCTAGAAAAATTGTCACAAAGTAACATAATTACCTTCCAGGAAGATTTCACTTAAAATAATTCCTGACAGACACCTAATCGGCTTTGTCAGTAATTTCAAACATCTATTTAGTGCCTGTTCTCTGTGTGGCAATTTTCCTGGCCCTTGGTTATAAAATGTAGAAGAGGTGAGAACTCTACTCAGACTGATAGGAAGAAAGTAGCATACTCCAGCAGAACCTAAAAAAAAAAAAAGAGCAACTTTAAAAGGCTTGAGAAAACCATACAAGTAATGAATGCTAGAGAGATCTTCACCCAGGGCATGACCTCTTGTGCGTGTCTGTTTTTCCTCTCCCAACTCTGTTTGGGCATCAATAACACACACTATATATAGTGAGGGCAGGTGAGGAGGGTGGGTTTGAAGGACTCAGGTATCCAGCCTTTTCAGAGACTATTTCATAATCATTTTCTGTCAGAAAATGTTTCAAAAAATATTCCCCAAATGCTTCTCAGTGAAGAGTAAGAAGTCTATTTAGTAAAAAGGGACATATAGTAGCCAACTTCTTCAAATGAGCTGTTATCCCATAATGGTTTACTTGACTTTGCAAAAGTACCCAAAAAACAAGGAGTGCGTCCCTTCCTGCACAGTCTCAGGATCCTGGCTCAATACCTAGAAAGCTCCTAATGACTTTTCTCATGACTTTGTGGAGCTGTGAATATCCAGAAGCATCCTAAGGACTCCTTTCAAATCTTGTGGAGGCTGGGAGGGGTGGCAATTCTGCCCTAATACCTTCCCAGACGTTTGAAATGGATCCTGTTTTTTAGCTAATGTTTTATATAAATGTAGATTAAAATGCAAGATGTTTACTTAATAGCATTAGTAATGACAAAAGTTCTGAATAAGATTCCATCAGGGGTTGACAGCACAATTTAGTTAAAAGGTCTCTATATGGGTGCCGGAAGTCTTAAAGTTTATTCATGGCTTTACCATTAACAAGCTATAACATTATGTAAATCTAACAACAACAACAATAATAATGAAGTACTTCGAAGAGCCTTTGTTAAAGAGCAAACTTAAAAGGCACACGTCTAACTATCAAGGCACTCATCTTCAGCAAAACATAACTCCTTAAATACTGAATAGTAACTACTTCAGCAACTCATATCTTTGGGAATTCAAACACAGATGTTGGCACATAGGTCAGCATCTCCCATGGGCACAAACTAGATGTTCAATAAATGTCTGATGTAAATGACTGACTGGCAAATAAATAATGCATGCTCACTTTCTTTCCTAGTGGCCCTATTTATTTGCTTATAACGTTGTATATACCCTGAATTTGGAAAGTAAAATAACTTTTAAACTCAAATTCTCAATTTGGCTAGAACACATTTTCAATACAATTGAAAACATTTTAGAAATGCTCTCCAGCACGTGTTAAAAAAAAAAAGCAAAAACAAAAAACAAAAAACCTGAATGCATCTAAAGCCTCTTAGTAGTGATATCACCTAACAGTTAGTTTTACAAAATTTCAGACCCATCTCTTTTTGTATAGATTATGTATATATAGCCCCAAACAGCTTTAAAATGTAAGATAGAGCCAGTTTTGAGATATGATAAATAACTATACATTCAAATCAAGGTATTTAAAAATATCTAGATGGATGACATTTTCAACTTTCACTTGCACGACTGACAATGTGCATTACGTTAGCATGTATTTTCTTTACCAATACAAATCCTTTGGTTAGTGGCACATTTTTGAACTACAGATCTCAAATTATATTGGATTCTTAGCTTAAAAATTGGTGTCTTTTGATCCAGAATTGCTAATAACAAATAGTTGGAAACGCTGTATATTATACTAACTTTTCTAGCAACCGGAACTACATTTTTTTCAACTCCTACTGTCCTTCAATTTTAGAAGTGTCAAAAAACAAAAGAAACATAACTCTGAAGAGAATATTGTAAGGATAATGGAAATACATGCAGTACCTTTACACTCTGATGGTGGAGGAGAACAAAAAGCCTTCTCTCCTTCAAAGAGCAGCGGTGAATAAAGACGACCAACTGGGGCTGGGTCTTGGGGCTGGTGGAAAGGAAATCCATGAGCAATTATTACACACACTGATAAACACCCAGTCTTATTATTTTCCTTCTCTGCCTTCACAGAAACCTTTTCTTCCCTCTCAGATGGGACATCTCCTCCCACCTCCCAACGGTTTCCTCAAGTCTCTCCGCCCAGCAGAGCATTATGGGGTAAGAAGGGGAATGAGGAAACAAATAGGCCGCTATACAAATCTAACAAGTTAATAAAAGAAAGAAACCAAGTGTTCTGTTTAGAAGGATGCTGCCAGCAGCCAGGGCAAAAAGCCGAAACCAGCCTATGGATTGGGTGGGTGAGGGTGAAACGCCATCAAGCCCACACGGAGCACTTATAAGGTACCTGCAGTGGGAGGGGTTCTGTGCTGGTACGGAGAAGGGTTCCAGGGTTTGCGGGGTACTCATTCTAAAGGCATTCACCAGACTGGGAATTCAGTGAGAAGAGACTAAGAAGATGAGTCTAGACCTAGCTCCTCCACCAGGGAGTTTTATAACCTCGGACAGGTCTCTAACCCGCTCTGACCCTCAGTTTCTCTTCCATCTTTCCTACTTCCTGTCGGAGTTATTAATGAGGCTCTAATGCTTTGGAAAATTGTCAAGTGATAAAGCCCCATACAAATGGAAGGCATTAGTTTACTGAGCACCTACTGTGTGCTAGAGACTGTGAGGGCAAACCTGAATCAAATTCAGATCTGAAAATCCAGAAAGGCAAATAAGCAATGTATCCAGGGGTTCTATTGCAAGGCGGAAAAAGAGATGGGTTAATATTCCGATCAGATCAAAAGTTCTTCCTCCCTCTGTGTCTCCTGGGTGAAAAGGAGGGGTCGGCCTATGAGAATCCTTCTCAGCGGCTCCTAACCGCCCAGAATTTCGCCCGGCGCGGGACCCCAGAAGGTTGGGACCCCAGGACCATTTTGCGGCAGAGTAAGCAGCAGGGCCGTTGGGGTGGGGCGGAGATGCTCGTAAAGTCTTAAGTGTCAGACTGGAAGGACTCGGGGCCGAGCGAGGAGGCTAGGCAGCCTTCTGACCTCCTCCCCTCGACGGCTTCCAGGTGCGGATACAGTAACGGGTCCGGAAGTAGTACTCGCGTCAGGCCGGCGGACCAGGCCCACTCACTCCACAGCCATCGCCGCGGCGCCCTCCGTTTCCAAGGCGACCGGCGAGCTAGGACCTCCCCCGCCCACCACTAAACAGCCGCGAGCTGCGGGCCAGGCGCGCCACCTGGTGGCAGCAAGGGGAACAATCAGGCCGAGGTCTCGCGCTGCCTCCCTGAGGGTACCGCGCCCTCCCACCTTCTTCCCGCGGGGTTGTCACCGCCGCAAGCCACCCAGCTTACTCCATAAGACGCGCTCGCCCACCTTGCCTCCCTCTAGTGGCAAACCGGGAAGTGGTGAGAAGTGTAGAGACTTGACGTCCGGGCTCTGTGTTGTGACCGTAAGCCGCTCACTTGTTTCTTCCCCTGTAAAATGAGACGTCAGGACTGGTCTGTGGTTTTCAAGCAGCGCGTAGCATCCTACGATGTTGGGATGTGTGCGCGTGACGGGGATTCAGCGCGCCCCCGCCACCCCTACCAGCCCCTTCCACCTGGGCAGCTTTTCTCCTGTCTACTTTTGTTTTGTGTAAGAGTTCTTTTAACTCCAAACAGAAGTGCAAACCCCTGGACTAAATGCTTATAAGGTAACTTACAGCTTTAAAAGTCCTTGATCCGGCTTGTTTTCTTTCTCGTTTTACTTTTTTGCTTCTAAACCTTAAGAAAACCAGTATAGATTTTGTCTTTCCCTCTCTTTCCACTTTTGGCAGCTCTCTCCTAATTCAGGGGGAAAAAATATCACACACCTACAACCGCTAACGTTCCTCTTTTCCTCATCTGCGTTCGTTCTCATTCTCTGCCTCAAGACAATTTCTTACATCCTGAGAGCACTTAGTTAGAGTCAATTATTCATCCTTTTGTCCCCAGAAGACAAAAATGAGGCGCTCTCTTGGGCCTCCACTCTCTGCATAAGTCTCCTGTTTGGCATTCTTGAATTTGATTTAAAAAATACATTTTCATGTTTTATGATTAATGCTGTTACATTAATACATATTAAGAACTTAAGGAAGGGAACTGAAGCAGTGAATAAAAATATTAATTACCTTTGGTTAAGGTAGTTTTTCTCATCAGTAAAAAGTCATCCAAAACCTAGCCAGTTTGAGATCATTTATGTCTCCTATCTCATTCGAACCGCCCTTTATTCTATTAGTGTTATATATTTCTTTAGGGCCAATTATAATAATAACAACAGGTGGGGATATGGGGTAAAATTACTGAATAGAGTTCGATGCAAGAGGGACAAAAAAAGCTACCACATAAATTTTTTAAAGCATGGGGATTTTTTTGTTGCTGTTCAATGGAAAAACAATTTTGTGATTCTTCAGTCCTTTGAATTCATTCCTAAATCACTTTCTATAAATCTTAGGCCAGTTTCTTTTGCTAGAGCCTGGGCCCATGGTCAAAAATGTACTTTTACCCTATCATTTATCTCCTGTGCAGTTTTTCTTATGGTGTTTGCCAGTTTGTGGTCAAACAGTGAAGCCAGATAAAAACCATTTACAGAGTTTCCTCATTTGACCTTGATCTTCTGTTAGCCTTGCCATGTGGAATGAGGCAGAAATAGAGGCAGGAGAGTTTCTGTGGTAGAAAAAGCCAAATATGTTGTCTGATTTTGGCAAAAACACAAAGAACTTGTTTGGTATGTTCTGTTGCTAAGCATTTTATACTTTAAAATCTATTTTCATTACCTCTGCAAATAGACCGTAAGACAATCAACTAAATGTATTAATATTAAATCTCACAATAATTTTTAGGAACACAAGCTAGTGATTAACCCATTAACCAGTTCAAACTTCTAGTAAATCAGAGCTTTTACTGGCAACAAGTTACTTTTTTTTTTTTTTTGCGGTAGGCGGACCTTTCACTGATGTGGCCTCTCCCGCTGCGGAGCACAGGCTCCGGACGCGGAGGCTCAGCGGCCATGGCTCACGGTCCCAGCCGCTCCGCGGCATGTGGGATCTTCCCGGACCGGGGCACAAACCTGCGTCCCCTGCATCGGCAGGAGGACTCTCAACCACTGCGCCACCAGGGAAGCCCCAAAGTTATTTTTGAGAAATATCAAATTCCTGCTATAACTTCTTATCCAAAACCTTTGTTCCTGACAAATTTGAAACAGTTAAATTGGTGTTTTGCCAAAAAAAAAAAAAGTCATCAAGTAAAATATTCTCTTGAGGGGAAAAGTTTACATCACCTTTAAGCAGGCATGGTGACAAACTCATAGAGGAGATTATGTTTTGACCCATCATCAACAGCATGATGAGTCTCAAAAGAACTTAGCTAAGTGAAAAAGCCGAGTGTGAGAAATTATATACTACATCACATGAACTTCTAGAAAATCCTGAAAGCAGATCACTGGTTGCCTAGTGCTGATGGGGGGAATGAGGGGATTGACTACAAGGGGGCAGGAGGGAACTTTTTAGGATGAAGGAAATGTTCTATGACTTGATTGCAGTGGTGGTTACAGGGTATATGTATTTGTTAAAACTCATCAAATTATCTTTAAATGGGTGTGTTGTATATAAATTATATGTTTAAAAGTTAATTTAAAAAATAGCTAAAGTTATTTGACAACTCCTCTCATCAAGAGATGGGGTCTCTGTTTCCTCTTCTTGAATCTGGTGGTCTTTATGACTGCTTCAACCAAGAGAATATGGCAGAAATGACTGTCACTTCCAAGGCTAGGTCATAAAAACTCATGCAGCTTCTTCCAGGTTCTTTTGGGATACTTGCTCTGAGGGAGGCCAGCTGCCACGTAAAAAGTCTACTTTGAGACGACCATGCTAGAGAGAGCACGTGTAGGCTCTGTGGTTAACCAACTGAGTCCTGCCTTCCAGCCCACAAAGTGCCAGGCCTGTGAGTGAAACCACCTTGGATCCTCCCAACCAGCCCATGCATCAGCTGAGTATTGCTGAGTTGATCTCATTGATGCCACAAGGAGCAAGAGATCACCAATTACTAACCTACAGAATCTGAGATTCGGTTGTTTTAAGCCACTGAGCTTTGATAGTGCATTAGTTGTCCATCGCTATATGACAAAGTACCCCAACGTTTAGTGATTCAAGACAACAATAATCACTTATTATCTCACGGTTTCTATGCATCAGGAATTTAGGAGCAAGTTGACTGGGCAGTTCTAACTTGGAGTATCTCATGAGGGCAGATGTTGGACAGATTCTGTCTCTGCCTAAAGGAGCTTTCAGTCTAGGAAGAGGGAGGGGCAGACAAATTAATAGGCAACTGCAACAGGGCTAGATAACCCCTGGAACAGGGGTAGAAGCAGAGTGCTAAGGGAAAACCGAGCCCAGCCTTGAGGGTCAAGGAAAAATTCCTAGAGGAAGTGAGGTCTAAACTGAGTCTTGACAGTGGGCAAGAATGAGTCAGTTTGGAGGGTGTGAGAGGGGCTGGGACAGAGGCCTGGGCATGTACAAAGGCCTAGAGGTGAAAATGAACATGACGAGTTTCTCATGGAGCTGAAAGAAATTTACTAATGGTTAGATCATAGGGTCCCAGAGAGAAGAAAGGAGCGAGAGGGGAGGCTGGAGAAGCAAGCAGGGGCAGATCCTGATGGGTCCTCTGAACCACGCTCTTTTATAATAACAAATGTTCACTCTGGCCCCAGTGTGGAGGAGGATGGGAGAAGTCAGGATGGGGACAGTTTCCAGGATGAACTCCACTGACCACAGTTCCAATCTTTTTCTGCCTAAGAGCCTCTCCCTTAGGTCTAGTTTCTGGTCCAAGAAACATGTCTCAGGATCTGCCTTTTGCCAGATTGCAGCGACTGGCAAAAAGAATGACCTCATCTTCCTGGCTCAAGTTATCAGCTTGCCTAATCTCTGGAGCCTTCTATGACTCAGGTGAGATGCCTACCTCCACACCAGGAAGTAGTCTATGAAGCTCCACCTCCAGCAAACATATGAAAGGAATTATTATTTTTTTAACATCTTTATTGGAGTATAATTGCTTT